TAAAAATCAAAATGGAGTGACAGTTGATGCAACTGCAGCACCTTCAACCTGTTTGGACCTGGTGCATGCACAGTCTTCATCCCTTCCTATATCTTTTTACCATTCAATAACTTAGCTGTGTTACTCTTATGTGACTATTCTGGTGTGTCCCTATAGACCATATGAAGGAAACCAAGAATATATGTAAACTGCTTAGGGGTTTTTCTTGAGGTTTTTTTTTTAAGGCTTGGGATCAGTCCATCCATGCCAGTAGAAAAACAGTTTGTGTGTACTGATCCTTCTTGTTCAATTACATCAGCTTCCAGTAAATACCAATACAGATATTTTTGAACCTTTGGAGACACTGTTTCTGGAATACTTTGAACAGTTGATCACTTTGAGACACTTTCCTCTTTTCCCTTTTGAGTGTAGTGTAAAGTAATGCTAAGGAGATCACTCCCATCAGCACAAGGATTTCTGCTTTCCAGATGGAATGGTCTCTCCTCTCCTCCTGCATGCTGTTCTGGAGGAATTTTCCAACCTTCCAGGGCTGATCTGAGTGTGGGGTGGGGTGAGCCCCATTGTGTTAGTGGTACTTGTTGCCCTGGCTTCCGCCAGCACAGCTATTTAGATTAATCCAGACCTAGGTTATATCTTCAGTTCAACATTTGAAGTTATTACAGAGACAGAGGAAAGGAGCATCATGTTTTGGAAGTGTTTGACACACTTCCAAAATAAATAGCATCTGCTTTTCATATTAAAGTGGCAGAAGGTGATTGTGCATGGAGTCCATTTTGTTAAAAGGAAATTGAAAAACAATAGTGAAAAGCAACATTCTTAAGCATTAACTACTTATTGTTAGTTGAAAAAGCAAACTCCTTTCCCAAGCTGAATCCTGTTTAAATGAAGCACATGGAAATGAGCTAAAGCAGAGGACTTTTCAAAAGTGAATATATTTCACCCCACTAATATCTTGTTGCTTTTATGTAGGGCCCAGTCTTATGCAGAGCGGCTACGGCTAGGACTGGCGGTTATCCATGGGGAGGCTCAGTGCACAGAGCAAGACATGGATGATGGACGCCACTCTCCTCCAACAGTAAAAAATACTACTCTGCACACTGGTCTGGAGCTACCCTGTATGTTGTTGCATTTTTCTTTACTTTTATTTTCCTTTGGTTTGATGTGCAAGGCATTTCAACGTAAGAGCCATCTGAATTCTCTGCTGAGGAAACAAACTCTGCACATATAATAATTTGTAGCTATCTAAAGGGAGATAAGGAACCAAGCAAAATTAAGTTGCTTTTAAATCAGAGGTCATGCACACATCCAGGAATAATCTGCAATCAGTTGTTTAATGGCAACACCAGAAGTCTCTCTCCCCGCATTAACTTTCTAAAATGAAAACTGGGTGATTTGTGATTTGTGTGTGAAAGGACTGGTCCTGAAAACCTGGGCTGAGCATGTGCTCAAATAGGGTTGCCATATTTCAAAAAGTAAAACCCTAAATACCAGTAAGTTTCACCACCACCACCCCTCCTCCTCCCTTCCCCTTTGAGGAGTATCTAAAGATGACCTTTTAAAGGGTGGCTGAAATCAGTGCTGTGAGACATAATTTTTGTGCCTCAACACAGTTCATTCAGAATTGCTTAAATGTGACAAGGTTTGTTTATGTTCAATAATAATAACAGCTATTTGAACTGTCTTTCATTTAAGTGAAACAAAATGTCCACTATGAGGTCTCTTTCATACAAAGCATGAAAGATGAATATGCATATTACAATGAAGCTGTGATTCTGATGTTGGGTTTTTTATTCCTTAGTTATGATGGCCAAAGAGAAGCCACCAATAACAGTAGTTGGAGATGTTGGAGGTAGAATTGCCATCATTGTGGTAAGGAACTAAAAGGCCATGATGACAAATGGGATTTTTTCCCTAGGTTTCATTACATCTCAAATATTTATGCCTGGATGCAGTTGGGATTTCAGGACTGGGCTAGAAGCCATGCAGGAAAACTAAACAGTCACATTGTATTGTCTGGTTTCACCTTTTTTCTACTAATTAAATAAGTTAGCTATCCTCCAGTATTAAATGGCCTTATGAGGCTGTGGTATAAATTCCTGTTAGTGTTCTATCTGGAAAGAAAATCTAACTCTGATAGACAGTGACACCTCACTGAGTGAAGCTTTGGGGTTCATTGCTAACTTCCTGGACAAAAGTCTAGGTACAGTAGCCTTTCCATTTGGAGGGATGATTGTTTTAAGATGCAAGACTAGACATCCTGGCCTATCCAAGCTTGTATAGTGTGCATGTTGCCGCTGTGTCATAGAACTCCATATGAACAAGCTTTTCAGAACCTCCTACCCAAAGGTCCCTATTCTGGTTTCTCAAACAGTCAACAAAATTGACAGGGCCTTGTGCCAAACCAGTACATTTTGTGTAGCCTGTGTGACTAGCTTCCTAGTGCCTGCCTTTCCACAAGACACTTCTTGAGTTTGTAACCAGGAGCATGGGCAGCTTGCATTCTGTACCTCTCCTTGAGAGAGAGCTAACTAAAGCCATTTTTGTATTTGCAAATATATCTTTGCCCAAACCAAAGAAGCATTTTCATGTATATTTTTCAAACAGCACTCCTTCATAAATCTTTGGAAAGTTTGTGCCTGTCATGTGCTCATTATAGGAACTTAGCCCTGTCCAGGAAGCAGACTTATACCATGCTGGTATAAATACCTGCTACTGAAATCCTTATTGGCAATGTACCAAAAGTTCATATGTAACTTTAGGTTAGACACTGAAGCATCTTCAGATTATTCCAGATTTGCCAAAGTGGTTACATACTGCTTGTGGGACAGTGGAGCAGTTTGTGCTTGCTAATAACTTCCAGATTTAACTGGGATGTGTTTTGCTTCTCAGGATGACATCATTGATGATGTGGAAAGCTTTGTGGCAGCTGCAGAAATCCTGAAAGAGCGTGGTGCTTATAAGATCTTCATCATGGCAACTCATGGGCTTTTGTCTGCTGATGCTCCACGTCTAATTGAAGAGTCATCAATTGATGAGGCAAGTCTTGGTATATTGCTCTATGGGCAAGATTCCCTCTTATTTGTGTATTAGTGTTGTTTTAAATAGCAAATGATGGATTTAGATTGATCAATAAGTTGACAGATTTGTATATGGAGTACAAGACTGTTGCACATTCTGAATATATAAACACACAGCATCAGTTGGCTTCTGCATGAATCTAGCTGTTGCTGGACTAGGATTCCCATCAGCCCCATGCAGAATGATCCATTTTCAGGAATGACAGGAATTGTAGTACAACATCTTGAGGACTAGCCTCCTGCCCTGCTGCAGCATATATTTTTCAGTAGATGGTAAACTAACTGGAGTTAAAGAGTTTTGCTGAGATTGAAACCAAATGCTACTGGTTCATTACTCCAAGAAAAAGAATGGCTGGTTTAAACAAGAACCTTACAAACAGGGATTCCCATTCTTCCACTACTATAGCTCAGCACTTAAATGTTTTCTGACAACCGAAACTCAGAGCTGTGCTGTGGTGGCTGCCTGTCTCAGTAATCTCATACTTCAGACTAGGGGTAGGCAACCTAAGGCCCGTGGGCCAGGTGCGGCCCAATCGCCGCCTCAATCCAGCCCGCGGACGGTCCAGGAATTGGCATGTTTTTACATGAGTAGAATGTGTGCTTTTATTTAAAATGCATCTCTGGGTTATTTATGGTGCATAGGAATTCGTTCATATTTCTCCCCCCCCCCCCAAAAAAAATATAGTCTGGCCCACCACATGGTCTAAGGGACAGTGGACTGGCCCACAGCTGAAAAAGGTTGCTGACCCCTGCTTCAGACCATAACATTTTTCCCACCAAGAGGAATGCTGTGCTGTAGTGCCTCCTTCCTCCTTGTCTTACTGCTTGTGGAAACTTGAAGCTGCATCAATGTGGCTGCATTTTTCCAAGCAGGAAAATGCAGCAGATTGCTACAGTGGCAATACTTGTGGTGCATTTTGTCTTCTGGCCTAGAGGTTTACAGTCGAGAGCCATTAACACAGTGCCCATCTATGCAAAACACGTGAGTTGTACTCAGATTACACCTACTGAAATGAATGGACCTAACTTAGCCACTCATTTCAGGGGGTCTACTCTGAGTAAAACTTAGTTGAACACCATTCAATATGCTTTCCCCATGACCAGATATTATGGGAAATTGTAGGTCTAAGTGTCTTTCTAGGATTTTAGCACTATTTAAATAAAACTGCAGCTGTACTGCTAGATTTGTCTTAAATCCTAGGTTTTAAATTTAGGCAGACAAGCATTGAATGCCCCAGCCACCTTTGGTCCAGGTGAATTGTTGCTTTTTCAGTGAGTGGGTGCTGCTGAGCTTATTACTTGACACTTCATACTAGAACTAGTGTTTCAGCTTGCTTGCTCACTCACAACCCTCCTTTCTCTGGCCCATCTGTTTATCTCAAGCAGTTCAGGCAGCAGCAGCTGTTTCTGAGGAGCAGAGGCGCCAGGTGTTGCTTTCAGCTGCCTCTCCTGTGCTCCTTACTACCAGCTGCCCTGTTCCCTTGCAGCTTTATAGTTTTCTTTGTGGTTCTTGCAATAATTATATTAATGACACCTCCAACTATTGCGGGGCATCAAATGCAAATACCTTACACAATCTCAAAACTTTGGCTGCAACCTCTATTTCCATTAAGGAATTTAAATGCAAATGCACACTGTGTGTGTTTGGTGACCCATCAAGGAACTTCTGGTTTGATTTTATTTTTCAAAAGTTAGATCCTGTGAATTATGTTTCAGCCACATTTCTAAATTTAATCTTTTTTACTTCCCTGTGCACTGCTAGGTGGTGGTCACCAATACAGTTCCTCATGAAGTGCAGAAACTGCAGTGTCCCAAGATAAAGACTGTGGATATCAGTTTGATCCTCTCTGAAGCCATCCGCCGAATCCACAATGGGGAATCCATGGCTTACCTCTTCCGCAACATTACCATGGATGATTAGATTCTCTTTATCATTCCCACATCCTCATTCCTTAAATAGAAGGGAGAAAAGAAATGTGCAAGGAAATATGCATGAATCGGCAGTGCCATAAAGTTGATGCTATTTGGGTGGGGGAAGCATTATTATGGGTCTGGGTGTCAAGAGACTGATGCCGTGAGGCCCAGGTATTTCAATTTCACTGGCCAACAGTTCTCGGAGCCAGCTAGATCAGGGTGCAAATAGGCATTGCAGTCTGTTTTAAAAACCGATACTAGTTGTGGCCTTCTGTTCTTGTTCAGCAAATCTTGTGTATTCAATTGCTTACAGAGATTTGACTTCATAAATTCTCTAGTCATGCATGTCTTCAAGCTCTATGGAAGGAGGTGTGATTCTTCTTGCACTGCTGGAATGTGCAATGCCCTCTTACTGCCTTTGGAGCCATTCTTAATATGGGTGCAGCAGAGCTTCCTCTTGTGAAACCATCTACACATAGGTACATTTTACTGCAGTCTAGGTAATTTGATCAGCAATAACATAGCATGATGCTAAGGGGTTCCAAAGTCATGGTAGAAACTAGAATGTGCTACCTCTCCTCCTCTATAGAGCCCTAGGTTCCAGTTCTGCCTAGCTGGCCTTGTAACAAGAGTATATAACATTTTAAGACTCTTGCTACAGTTTGTGAGTAAATTTGTAAGGTTAAGTACGGTCTAATGGGATTTGCTTCTGGTGGTATTCTGTGTTCCTTCATGGCCAAAAATTATAGCACATCGGCCAGAAAGTATAGAAACATCCATGTAATACCTTCCTGTGTGTTTTACACAGCTGTACTCTTGATGCACAATGGTAAATCTAGAACAGTTTTTTATCTGTTGCGTCCCTAAGAGAGAATTCTATAGTGCTATCTATTAACATATAGGGTGATTCTGCCTGCTGCCCAGTGCAGTGTTTCTTAAAACATTTTACTGAGAAGGTATGCAAAATTCAAATCTTTTTGAGACAGTCCCATTATATGGCAGCCTCCAGCTAACAGTGAAACTGCCTACCCCTTGTGCTGTGTTCTCCCAGGGTGCTAGTGTTTGACCTGTAAGATTCCTGCAACTGTCTAGCATAACCTTTTCTTTGTACCTTTCGGTTGTTGAGGTCCAATGACTCCCAGCCTCCCTGGTCATTGAGTCATGCTGGCTGGGGTTGATGAAGCTGTAGTCCAGTAACACCTGGAGGGCCCTAAGTTCCCCATTCCTGATCTAAGCAATAGAACGCTTGGTCATTAGTAAGAATGAATAGCATACTTATATGACAAATTACCAACCTCTTTAAGGTCTGCTAAGTAACAAAACACTCCCTTCAAGACAATTCACAAAAGCAGCTAGTGTTAATTGTATTTACTCTGATAACTGTTTGATTAAAAGCAAGAATGTTGCATTTGCCAACTACCGGAGGCCTAAGGCTGTCGTTCCATTCTGACTGGGCAATTGGGGTGAGAGATGACTAGGTACCAGCCACAGTCACTGCTTGGCTGCCTGGTGGCTGCTACTCAAAAGCCCACTCAGTGTTACTAGCTATCATAGAGATGGATAAAAGGGAAGCAAGCCTGATGCTGCCCACCATACTGATCTGGCAGTTCCCTTTGAGGGAGCCCCTGGAACATGACCCAGTCCTTGGCTCTGCAGTGGCTCTGCCTGGTCCAATCCATTTAGCCCTGCTTCCCCACTTTGGGCCCAGTTGTTCCCTTACATTTTCTAGGACCAGACCCTATTTCTTTTTAACAGTCCAGCTGAAGGAAGATTTAGATCAAGGTAGCTTTTTCCTTATCACGTGTGATGGTGTAACAGGAGAAAAACTGCACCTGATGAAATACTTATTCCTGAGAGTGGACTTAAAGGGATTGAAGGTCTAAGAAACTCTACACCTCTGGCCATAGTTTTTGTCAGCTTCCAAAACCCCCTCTCCTGGCCACCTTGTTATTTTAACAACTCAAATCACCATGTGAGGGGTTTTCCCCAAGTCCCACTTTATCAACTCCACCAGCTCTTTGCTTCAGTCTACGATTGAACCTGTAGTAAACCTTCATCTTGGCTCACTGCCCCCCAGCTTCCTACTGAGGGTGGCTCTGACCATTACAACACAGGCTCCTTCTACAGTGTAATGACTAAAGCAGTGGAGGTGTGAGAATTCCAAATACTGCCACTGTGGACATGAGGCACCAGAAGCTTAGAAAGAGGATGTATGAATCATCCTTTTAGCACGCTTTGTAGCAGCCAAACCACTTAGGTCCTTGGCTCACAACAGCTCTTCTTATCTCAGCCTCTTGCATAGGACCTTTTCCCAGTCAAACTGAAGACAGATACTGTATACTATGTTCTGTTCCAGAAATTTCACGTCTCAAGCTCTTGCCTGGCCTGAGCATCGGGCTTGCTTTCAATAAGTCAGCTTTCATTAACTCAGCAGTTAGAAGACTAATTAACACTCCATGGTGTCATAGCTGCTCAGCCAATTGCTGTCAGAAGCTTTACTACCAAGGAGTATTTTTTTGTTTACTGCATTACAATAGAGAATACACAGGGGCAGCCAACATACCCTTCAGGTGTTGCTGGAATAGCTGCAACGGGTGGAGGTTGGTGTCCAGCAACTTATTGAGTGCATTCCATTGGCTACACCTGGATTATAGGATCTTGAGAGTGCATTCAAATACTTGTATTGAAAGATGAGAAAACAAAAACCTGCTGTGGACTAAACAACCCATTTGTTAACTAATTATCAACAGCCACATTCTGACGCCAAACAATAAATGGTCCCAATAGCCATGGCAACAGGATGCTAAAACAGCAACATTTCACCAGCCATGCAAGCAGATATTCTGGCACACCTAGGCACGGTTTAAGTGCCTTATGGGTGAAATGGCAATTCTAATTCACACTAGAGGTGGTAAGAACAGAGCCCAAGCATACAGTATCTTCTAGACTGATAAAAATGGAAACAACTTGTAATGTTGAAACTCTCCCTTAATAGCCTGAGTTATCAGAAACACAGGCGAGGCTTTCAAAAGTACCATGCAGAGTGTCTTCTTCACTTATCTTTTGGGGGGGGGTTGTTCTTCACCTTTCCCCAACATATTTTCCCTCCAACTCAAGCACATTTTAAAATGTATATCATTCCATATTAAATTACAGACAAGAAAACTGCAAGTCCAGGACAGGCTTTTAACTGTTCAGCAAGTAAAGTTTCCTCCATTTATGTATGCAAAAGTGCACACAACACAACTTAACTACCTTTCTGTCTCATCACGGCTACCTAGGTATGCACATCTTGTTGAGATGCTGTCTTTTAAAAGCCCTCCCAGATGGCTTTAAACATAAGCAATACCTTGGGATAGGTTTACTATGAATCCTGAGCATTAAAGCAAAGTTACTCTCATCCATTGCTGTGATTTATATGAACTCGGATTCAAAATTGTCTGAGAAACTTCTAATGTTAACAGTTAAAGTATTAGAGGCATTGTGTAAAGTTGTGGGTAAAGTCCCAAACATTGTGAGGTCTCCTTTGCTCTCAAGCGGTTCAAATATTCATGATGGATTTCTGTTGCCAGTTTTACAACGATGAAAACCACCTATATTCATGTTGGAGGGTTAAAATGTTCATCTGTGCATTATCATACTGCTTTGTTTGAACACTATATTGGTCCTTAATGTTCTAAGCAATTTGGCAGAGACAATCGATATGTCAAGACCCTGGACTACAACAAGAGGGATGGTGGATGAGAATTAAAGTGATGTAAAAGTGTTACACATGGCATTTGAATTTTGTTTCTGCCCACACTAATCCTAGAGGGTTTTCCTTACATATTCCAGTTGTTGCAGCATTTTCCCTTTAGTCTTGTAGGTTTTAGAAAGAAAGCCCATAACCTCTCCCGTTCCATCACCTCCAGCTCCTGGGGAAGACTTGAAGAGGTTATTTTTGCTAGTTTAAGTTAGAGCTTTTGGAGGGAGCTGGCTTTTGGTTTTAAATGGGAAATCACTTCTTTTTCAGATGTTTAGAATATTTTTTTCCAGGTGCATAACTTAAGTTTTTTAACTGCTTTGACATTTTAACATTTATCCCCCTCATTTTCATTTTGCTCTGTTTTGCTTTTTTTCATGCTCCTTTTTAATTAGGGTGACAGGGTGATGCAACAAACCCACTTACTAGTGCAGACAGTTGCAACCTCCGTCTCAAGTAAACTGCCCGCCTCAAGCTGAAGCTATGGGAGAAGGGAGTATAATTTATACCTCAGCTTTCTGAGATTCTAAGACAAAAGAAGTTCTGTCATGCCACACCATGCAACTGGTCACAAAACAGCACACAGAACATGATCCAAGTTTCACAGAGGAGGCAAACCATACAACTGAGAAATGGGCAAATGTCTAGTAGCCTTCTTGCGTGATCAGAAAAAGCATGCTTCCATTGCATTTTATCTTTTTCAAATTTGATTATGTTTACAACCATGCAGAGTCTTATCTTAATCAGAGCTGTCAAAATAAGAGTGGAATTTTGCCACTTGCTGTGGACATGCAAAACAAAACAAAAAACCCTAGATACTTCAGAAAGAACCTTGGTGTGCTTTTGAGAAACAGGGCTGAAACTGGTCCTGATCTGATGCACTGCCTAATAGATCCTGGTCTCTTCCTTGTTGAACCAGAAGGCAGTTTGATCAGGGCTTATATGCAAAAAAGTAACACCTTAGCCTGTACACCATGGTAGGATCTCTGACCTCTGTTTTGAACATTCTAGGTGTATTATTCCTTTGTGCAAGCTGTGAAGATTGCCTTCTTGAGCAGAAATTTTATAATGTATCCAAAGAAGAGGTGATTTATTCAGAATATTCCTGTAGTGTTTAACATCTATGAACCCTTTGTGCATTTCTCAGATACTGATGGTGCAGTGGGTAGTATGAAAAGCCTGCTGTCATGCACATGCAGTCAGTTGTTTTTAGTCTTCCAAATCAGGGTGAAGTGGGGGAAAAAATCTAAGCATCTACTTTTTGTCAAGCTTGCTTGCTAGAGCCTGTTCTCAACTGCTATGATTGCTGCTAGGAATCCCAAACAAAGAGCCTTTTCAACCATTGGAATGGGAACTTTGTTATTTTAAACCTTATTTATTGACTTCCATACTAACCTGAGGAAGGAACTTACCATGATGGAGCTTTGTGGGTTGGCATAAGGAGGCAGCCACTGTAACACCTTAAATTAATCTTGCAGTGACTGTCACTTCTTGACAATGGCGCGCTTTGCACCTTGTTTTTCTTTTCAGTTTTCCTTTCTGTTTGGGAGCCCACGACTGATTTTTAATAATTTTTGCTTTGTCATGAGCAAAACTGCAAGCAAACCCTAGAGGGAGGTGCACAGAGAGAAAAATCTATGTACATGCCCTTGCCTTTGGGTATCTCACAGGACACAGCCTTCCACTTGCATGTATTTTTATGATAACCTGGAAAGCTCTTCCACACAAAGGGCTCATCCAGACTGCCTTTTGTGCTGTGTTTCTAGACACAGGTCAGGGCTTTAAAGCTCTGTGTCCCAAGTGTTGTTTTTTTGCCAAAGCACTTTCCCCAGGGAAATCCGTGTTTTACTGCTGAATTGGAGAAAATGGCAATTGGATTCTTTACAGATTTGCTCAGATTCAGCAATAAAACATGGGTTTCCCTGAGAAATGCGCTGGGACCAAAAACAAAACCCCACAACACTCAGACACAGAACTTTAAAGTGTGTGCCCGTGTCTGGAAAGCACAGCTCAAAAGGAAATCAGATGAGCCTTAAGGGACCAAGGTTCCTTTTCAGTGTATGAACAGTGCCAATCAAATGCTAAACATGCCCTGGGAATAATTTCCCATAACAGAAGGCTTAAAGGGGGTTAAGTGAGTATCCTTCCTCAAAAGAATTATCACATGCAAGATTACACCTTTTAGGTGTAATCTTACACATTTCCCTGCATAAATTTCTCCTGGGAAGTGAGGTGTTTGAATATATCATATGATCAGTAGGACTCGTGAGGTTTAAATTTTGCTCCTGAAATGAAGATCTGCCTGAGGTTTTATAGAATATAAATACAGTATAAGGTTTAGAAGGGATTCCTGCGTTTTGTAGTGATACAAAATAACTGAGCTAGGCTTGTACATCAGTAACAGCTTCAACAAGACATGGAGAATTCCACATGATCCACTATTTTACAGGCAGAAAATCTGTTGCAGAGTTTCAGATCCATGCTTATGATAGAATTGATGCTCCTAGCTAAGGACCTTGTGAAGGATGCAGTGGGTGAATCATTCTGTTAAAACGAAAAGCAAATCAAAGTATCATTCCAGAGAGTCTTTAATTCTTGTAATTTGAAGGTCCCTGTTTAATAACTCGGTATTTGGATTTAGCAATGCCAGGGCTTAATAGCCCTTTTGAGTGCCAGCAACTGAAAGAGAATGTGACATTTCTTCCCCTACGTACCTGGAATTGTTTATACAACCAATGGGGCAAACTGTGATTGGAGTTATGAATGAAGGCTTGTTATAACAATGAGATCAGAGAAAATGGTCACAGATTCCCTTTCCAGCTGTTGTCTTCAAAATATCCCAAGAGCTGCTGGTACTTATCTCTAAACTGGAAACAGCAATTAAGTTGTGCCAGCAATTATGAGGAGTCAATTGCAGATTATGTATAAACAGTGCACACACATCAGCTGCGGCCCTCTGACTTGTTATATACATCATTAGCGAGCAGAGATCTCCAGTAAGCGAAGCTGACCACCCGCTTTCCTGAGAAGAGTGAAGGAACACAAAAAGGATGCAGAGGGTGAATTAAACAAAGGATGCTGTACTGTAACCCACAGCTTTGGAGCTGTTAACAACAGTAAATAAGTCGACAGTTGTGCTTTCAAGTACCGTATATGCCAAGAATTGTCTGCGTCCAAGTAAGCACTTGAGGAAGCTTATAAACACATGATTTTAAATCTACAGCTATATCTCTTAAGCGTTTCTAGTGTGAGTAAGGTAAAGGTAAAGGGGACCCCTGACCATTAGATCCAGTCGCGACTGACTCTGGGGTTGTGGCGCTCATCTCGCTTTACTGGCTGAGGGAGCCGGCATACAGCTTCCGGGTCATGTGGCCAACATGACTAAGAGCAGCGCATGGAAACGCTGTTTACCTTCCCGCTGGAGCGGTACCTATTTATCTACTTGCACTTTGACGTGCTTTTGAACTGCTAGGTGGGCAGAAGCTGGGATCGAACAACAGGAGCTCACTCCGTCGCAGGGATTCGAACAGCCGACCTTCTGATCGGCAAGTCCTAGGCTCTGTGGTTTAACCCACAGCGCCACCCATGTGTGAGTATTTATGCACTAAAATGAAAACTGCAAGAATTGCTTTTCTGAATGAGGCCAAGGTGCATCTAGTCTAGCGTTCTGACTTGCAGCCAACCTGGTGCCTCTAGAAGCAAGTCATGCTGAGAATGGTGACCTCCCTGTTTGTCACCAGCATCTGGTCACCAAAGGCAAGTGGCAATGCCTCTGAACATACTGGTTCCAATTAGCTGTGCTTACTCAACACTCAATAGCCTCACTTCCCTGAGCCTGGTATTTTGATCACAGGACATCTGATAAGCCACTACCTTCCACCTTTGTAGCCTTTTTTTGCATTGCCCCTTTTGTGCAAGGCATCAAGACTGCCACAGTTGGGGAGTGGATATTGAACAGCTGAAATGTGAAGGCAACTTCTCTCATAGGCGGAGGGCGCAAGGGTGAGGCATAACCTATCAAGGAGCTATAGCACCTCTGGGATGCATTGAGATGAAGGGTGGGTTATAAATATTATTCTTAACAAAATAGAATAAAATATGAGAGGGAAATGTGAAGGATGTTTCTGGACAAAATTCAAATTTAAGCAGCAGCAGTGACACTGATTCTTTAACTAGACTTGCTTGTGGTCAAAAGAAAAGCAAAAGAGATGTGTGTTGTTACCTATACACTGCTTTCTGGTGTTTATCTGATCCAGGTGATACAAACAGATATGGATCACATCCACAACACAGAAAGTGTGCAGTGTGTAAGCAGAATATTTTCTCAGTAGACACTCATACGAGGCTTTGTCAATAGCTGCCTACATCCTATTTCATGTGATATGCTGCCACCTGCAGGAGGCTTGCACACATCTGTCTTATTATTGGTTGTATATTTAAGGCTCAGGGTACGGCCAGAGACGCATGCAGCTTGGTAGCCGCTTCGTGGAATGTCAACATTTGCTTGCAGGTGAAGCCAGTGCATGTCAGAAGGGTAGAGAAATCATACTGAACTCTGTGGAACTTACATCAGAGTAGACACATAAAGGATTCTTCTGCTGTTCTTGCTAGGCTGCCTATTGTTTCCCCACCCCCCTCTCTGCTTCATTCTTTCACTATTCCCAGCCTATGGGAAACTGGGGATGCACTAGAATGGATCGATAGCTATGAATTCCATGCAAAAATGCCAAGAACAGCTTGGAAACGTAAGATGCTGCCTTATATACTGCAGTGGTTCTCCAGGGTTTCAGGCAGGGGACATTCCCAGCGCTACCGAGAGACACTGGGGATTGAACCTGGGACCTTCTGCATGTGAAACATCACTGAGCTGTGGCCCATAAACTAGATGGACTGGAGGAGGTTTAGGCAGGGAGATGCAGACAAGGGTTTGATGATAAATTATTGCTTAAATGGTCGTATAAGTAGTTGCATTGGCTTGTCAATTACACGGAACAGCTTGTATAGTTCAAGGAACTATGTATTTGTGCAGTTATTTGGACTTAAAACATTTACTGCTATTCTTGTTCTGAGCATTGCATATCAACAAACCAGTTAATTTGTTTCATTTACAGTCATGAGTCTGTGATTCTTGTCCTGGATTCAGTTTTACCTACTGGGGTTCACATACGGACCAAAATGAATCCTGATTTTTTTTTGTCTAGCTTCACTCACATATACAAAAAAAAATATATGCAGCATCCTACCATACCTAATGTAAGGCTCCCCTGATTTCATTGCACAATAAGTGGGTCTTGAAATTTCCTACTTGGGCACTATCCAGACCACCTCCCTCCCTCTCTCTGTCACACACACACATACACACACACATAACCAACATGGACACACACTCCTTTAACCATATGTTTCTTGTTCTGTTTGCATCTCAGATCTGAGAGCATTACAGTACCTATCTGTGCAGTGCACCTTTAAAAGTGGTCCCTGGGTATATTACAAACTATATATAGAATATCATTTCACCTCTACTGCAATGCAGTAAGGCCAGAAGTAGAGCACCGCTATCTAGCCCAACACTTAGGAGAAGCAGAAAATACTGCAAAGATATATTCTTGATCATGGTTTTAGAGAAGCTGTCCTTGTTGCTGTTGCTGCTACATATTTCTTAGTTGCCCTTCAACAGCCGGTCTTAGGATGGGTTGCAATTTGTAAAGACACAATTAAAACAGCAATAAAAATAAACAACCCCATGCATAACCTTAAAACAGTAATTCCATAGTGATCTGTATTAGAATTCAGCCAGGATTCCTTACACTTATGAATCAAATGTTGAGCATTAATTTCATATGCTTAAGACCTGTGGGAACTGCTGCCCTTAATGTGCATTTGCTATGCAGACTGTAAAGCAGGGGTAGCCAATGTGCCCTTCAGATGTTTAGTGGTGCCCATCAGCCCCAGCCTTCAGGTCCAAAGCTAGAACTGGAGCTGAGGTCACTAATGTGTTGGCTACCCCTGCTCTACAGTAGGTCCTTAAGGGCATTTTTCTCATCTGTAAATACAACTGGCTTGGATGAGAGGAACTGAGCACAGCCACCAGCTCTCATCACATGATCAGGGCATCTAATCATAGATAAGAGACTCTGCAAAGAATCTGCTATTTTTTTTCCAGACTCAAGGTGCTAGTCCTCATGGTAATACAGACTGCACTCCATACCTAAATGGAGAAGTTGACCTTTCAGTACACACAGAGAGCTGTTCTGAGCTGATATTACATACATACATCATTTTATTTGTATTCCGCCTTTCCATAGCTAAAACCATGCTCAAGTTGGCTTACAACATGGAAAAAAATTGCATAGTTACAAATACAACCATAGTAGTCAAAAACTACTGTATGAATGTATTTGTTCACTAGTCAGCATACCGTGAAAACATGATTAGGTCCTGCAAAGTCAATTCACATTGTTCTAGAATAGCTGACATGAGTAGACTGATCCTATGCATTTCACTCAGAGATACCTCCAAATCTGTTCTGTGGTGGTTTACTACCAAGTGTCTGCCACAGAAATTTTGGCTCTATTGATAGGGAAATTGCTAACACTGTTAAGAATATAGAAATTCATCATTTCTGGCCCTCAGCCAAGCTGCCTGGGACTAATGAGAGCCGGAGTTCCCCATCCCGGCCCTACATCTGTTTCACTTTTGCCCCTTTTTTCACTCCATCCCAGTTATGAGAAAGCAAGGACCAGTTGCTCTTTTGTGCTACTGTGGAGAAGACAGGAGCAAAGGAGCTCAAATTGCAATTAAACAGCGGAAGTGAGATGTTAAGAAGAACCTTCCAATTGAGAGAGAGGCAAAGCATTGGGATATTTCAGTTGAGATGTGACAGACAGCTGCTGCTTGTCGGAAGTCACTGTGTAGGTGAATGTTTGCTTTGAGATTTGGGAGAGAGCAAGAGAGAGATAAGGGCTGCAGGGATGAGGACTCTGTGATCCTCCAGATGATGTTGGACTGCAACTCTCTTCCTGTGCTCACTTGGCACTGATGGGAGTCCAACCACACTTAGAAGGCCACAAAGTCCCCCTGTCGGCTGTACTCACTCTCGCATGGGAACTTTGTAGTTGCCCATTGTTGGAGGAAACATGCTTTGGAGTAGAGGGCATCACAAATATTTAAAAGACCTGGGCCACAATCCCATTGGACATAAATCTGCATGAAATGTGCATAGGCTTTTATATCTGTATCTATAAATATATAAAAAATAGACTATATAAATTTAATAAATAATAATAATATTTAGATTTCACAAATCAATGCAAAACTAACCGTTAAATAGAGTGCATGGAGTTTGGCGAGATGAACCCTGAGATCCCTTCCAACTCTACGATTCTATGATACACAGAACCTGTTTTTCTCACCACTGAGCAATTTCCCCCACTTTCTGCTGTCCACAGTTCATCTGTTCCCAGTATCTTGAACACTGAAAACAGCGCTGGTACAAACTAAGCCATACCTGAGACAGGTTGCTTTCCACCATCCAAGGCCTTTGGTTGCAAGGAGAGCTTTTGCAGGAGTCTTGCTTCTGGCAAACGGTTGGCCCAGATGACCTTAGGGCTAAATCACGCTTAAGTGGTTCTGCGCAGTATTTCAGCACTTTTTCCTTTTTTTCTGGAAAACCTACAGGGCAATTTAAATGTTTAATATAAACAGATTTACGAATGCCACCAACAGATATAGGAGGACAGCCCCCACCCCTTTTAAAAAATCAGTGTGCGTGTCTGTGTGTGTAGCGTCTAAATTTTATTTTATACTTTTTGAATCTGCTGCTCTGAAACTCATGGGAAAGAAATAGCTTAATTAAACTGGAAATATATTAAACTGACTAACAAACCTCCCCGATTCCTTCGGCTCCCGCCCATTCCTCTCTGTTTAGCAAGGGGGGAGGGAGCGCGCGGAGTCATAACTCGCGCGGCGCCGCGAGTCCCGGAACGGTGGAGGGCGGTCACCCCCGTCGCGTAGCAACCACAAACGCCGGCTCGCAATCAGCCGGCAGCCGGCGAGATAAACAAAAGCACATGAGCAGTTCTCGAAGCCAATCCCGGAACGAGAAGGTTTGTGAGGCAACCAATGGAACGTAAGGATTCGAACGGGGCCGGATTGTCCGCGGCGGAGGCGGCTTGTCTTCCGAGCTTCGGCGGGGAGCTGCTCGTCAGTCTGTCGCTCGCCCGAGCTGCGAGCTGCGCTGGGGGGCGGGTGCTGCTTAGGCTGAGGGGAGCTTTGAAAAAGCCCTTTAAATAGGGGTGGTCGTTTTGAGGGGGGCGGGTGGGAAAAGGATAGGCAAAAAGAGCAAAAAGATAAAGCGAGATAGAGGCGCTGCTCATCCCTTTATGGCGCCAGCCTGCTCACTTTTAGGAATGGGCTTACAATAAATTGGGCTTAAATATATATATATATATACTCCAGACAGATATTCCTTGTTTTTAAAAAAAGGGAAGAGCTTTTATTTATTGAACTGCCTTCCCATCCCAGCGTTATATTTTCATAGGGGTTAATAAAAGATTGGTTTTGTTTTTGGTTTTTTTTTTGTTATTTCTTAAAAGAAGATTTTATTTTATTTTTCTTAAATAAGGCAGCTGGCAGTTGTCGCAAAGTGAAGGGTGGGTCGAAAGGGGTGCAGACATGTCTCTGAAAGTCACCTTGTACGAGTTGGCGGACATCTCCATAGGGACTCCAGAGGTTGGCCATGTCAATTTCAATGCCCTCCACACCCTCCTCCATGCCATCCTCAGGTATCTCAAAATCCAGGATGCCATGGCGGAGGTCAAAGTGGATCGGGGCCCGCCATCCAAGCCAGACATGCCGGAGGCTATTGAGACGGGGGTTGGGGAGATACTGTCCGATGAAGAGTTACTGAAGGGCAAGGATGGCAGGGCAGGCAAGGAGGGCCGGGAAGGCAGGGCAGGCAGGGCAGGCAAGGAAGGCAAGGAAGGCTTGGAGGGCAAGGAAGGCAAGGAAGGCAAGGAAGGCCTGGAGGGCAAGGAAGGCAAAGAAGGCCTGGAGGGCAAGGAAGGCAAAGAAGGCAGGCCCAGGAAGGAAAAGGGGGTTTCAGACAAAGACATAGAATCTCGCCTTGACGACTTGGAAAATAAAATGTTTGCGCTGCAGGCTAACCTCCAAGGGATGGCAAATCAGGTGCAAGGGGTAGAAGATCAGGTCCAAGGAATGCAAGATCAAGTTCAGGGAGTCCAGGGGAAAGTGCAGGGGTTGGGAAAGCGGGTCAAAGGGTTTGAACAGCAAATGTCTGGCCTAGAGAAGCTGCCTTCTGGTACCGACTTGATGGATAAAGCCAGGAGTGGCTCTGTGGCCGATCTATGGCAAGCGATGCAGTTGCAGAAGAAAGTTGAAGCCAACGAAGAGGGCATCAACAAGGTATGTGAACGATTAAAAACACACACCCAGATTGTTGAAATTTCAGGGGCATGCAAAGGTTACATTGGAATTGAGTGCCCTTTATAACGATTGCGAACAATATTAATTTTAGACTAGTTTTTGAAGGAGGCATGATGGTCATGAGGATTGTTTTGGTTTGGTTTTTTTTTCCTTTAAAGGCCTAGCTCGCTGCAGGGATACAGTACAGCAAGCTGTCAATCATTCCTCTCTGAAAGTTCCACCCCACCCCAAAGATGTTTAACTGTCAACTTGTGTTGGAGTGAAGAGACAAAGAGAACTATAATGCATTGTTATGTTGTGTTGGCAAACACCATAATCTGCTGCACCGTGATTCTAGATCTTTTGTGCAGATCTCTGCAGTACCTGAAGCTTCACACGTATTCCTCCTTGGAGGTGATGCCTCCTGGAATAATGAACAGAAGCATAAATAAATGTTTCCCCATGGAATCATTTAGTAGCCCTTAAGAAAATGCATCAAATATGCACTTGGTATTTACATCTAGGTACCTTGTCAATACAAGCTTCACCTCCAAATTTCCAGAATTAGTATTACCGGTAATTCCTGTTTTACGTTTTTGACTTAAGAGTTTGAATACTCTTTCAAGCAACTGATTATTCAAATGTTGGGTCATACATTTCAAAAACAGTTCATGCCAAAGCTTTCGTTACTTGTAGTGCTTCGTAAAGTCATTGGCAACAGAGAAATCATTTGCTAAAGTTCTGAGAAATCCAGAGGATTTGCTAAGTTACACCAGACAGGCATTGATTTACCTGTCAAAGGAGCACTGGGACTGGCTAAAGTGGAAAGCTGGATGGATGCCAGTAACACTGTGTGCCCCCACTCTCTGCCCTGAACATTTTCCCCTGCATTAGAATTGGTGAACCAAAGGCAGCACAGTTTGTGAACTGTGAGGTATGCTATGCCAAGATTGGCTCCCAGCAGAGCTAAGCTTTGCAACAGGCAACTGCAGGAGCAGTTGAAATATCTTGCATTCCTTAAGTTTCCGTTAGTTCTAGATGCTCCAGTGAGCTGGACATGTAGAGACTCATCTCTTGCTATTTAGAAGCTGGCTTATTCTGGCTTGTGCTGAGACCCTAGCTGGGTGCGCAGGAGTCCGTTGCCTGTATTCCGTGCATAGGAATAACATTAAATAGAGCAGAGACATGGAATATTTTTCAGCCTGAGGGCCACATTCCTATCTGGGCAGTCTTCCAGGAGCCACATGCCACTAGTGGGTGGGACCAGTCGAGAACAAAATGTTGGTGGAACAATTACAATGGTACCTCGGGTTACATACGCTTCAGGTTACATATGCTTCAGGTTACAGACTCCACTAACCCAGAAATATTACCTCGGGTTAAGAACTTTGCTTCAGGATGAGAACAGAAATCGCACAACGGTGGCACGGAGGCCGCAGGAGGCCCCATTAGCTAAAGTGGTGCTTCAGGTTAAGAACAGTTTCAGGTTAAGAACAGACCTCCAGAACAAATTAAGTTCTTAACCCAAGGTACTACTGTAATGTAAATCCTATCTTTGTACAGTAGACTAGTTTCTACACATGCTCCCACACTCTTCTCTATCCTCTCTATCCAGGCAAGCAAGAGGCATTATCAGAGTTCAAGGACCAGCGAGGCAAAAACAGTCAAGGAAGGAGCACAGCAGGGGCAGGGAGGGCTGGGGCCTAGGGAGAAAGGGTGTGGCAAGGAGAGAGTCCTGAGGACCAGACAGGGAATTCTAGAAGGCCACATTTGGTCCCTGAGCCTGAGCTTTTCCACCTCTGTGGCAGAGTGAGGGAGCTGTTGGGGGCAGTAACGACACCCCCCAGTCCTGCCATGCAGTCTGCCCTGTGCCCCCTAAGCTAACCTGCTGCTCTCAGGATGCTGCTGCTGTCTCTGTCAACCAGCACTGGAGTAAGTTTCAGCCGCCAGTTGAATGGCCTTTTGTATGTGGAAAAGGGGAGCACCATCTTCTCCCTCACCTCAGGCAACAAAATGTCTTGGCCTGGCTTTGGCCTGTTAGTTCTAGCCATCTCTTGATGCACACCAGGATGTTTTAAATCAGGCAGCCTTCCAGTTAGTTAGGTCTGGTTATCGTCTGTATAGTGCTGATAACAAATTAATATGAATGCAGTTTTGGTAGGAGACGTGGTATGTTTGTGTGTGATGAGCTCCAATCCCCGCTGGGAGCACTGAAGGCTCCACTTTCCATTTTTGCCACCTGGGAATGAATTCCAGTCCTTCTGGACACAGGCATACACTCATATACAGACATTTGAGAGTGAGTGAGGTGGTTTCCATCTCTACTATCCACCACTATGGGGCCTTCTGAGGACCATCTTGCCCTGAAGGGAGGAGAGACTAAAGACAAACTGGCCTGGAGGGCTGCCTACAACCCAGTTCCCAGTATTGGAGTTGAGGTGACCTCTCCCTCCCTCAACCGCCACCCTACTCAAAGAACCTCTTTACCTGTGGGAAGGGGAGATGTAGTTTTCAAAAAATATCCCTCTTGTAGATTATCTTGGCTGGCTTATTCTATAGATTTAATTGTTGCCTCTTGTTTTAAGATTTTAATGTAAACTGCTTTGTGAGAGTCAACTGAAAAGTGGTATATTAAATTGAATTAATCAGTGTATATAATATTTATCAGATTTCTATGTTTCATTAGATAAGAGGAACAGGCGCATTTTGCAGTATAGAGTCCCCCCAGACAACATGCCTCTACTAGTCTATGAGGGGAGCTATAGCAATAAGTATACGCTCATAAGTATTCCAGATTCAGAGTGGATAGTGATGACGGGGCAAGCTCTGTGTGAAACCGCCTATGAGTTAATGAGCAGCAAATTGTTATGTCCAGTCGCATCTGGCAAAGGCCTGGGACAAGTCTATACTTGAATTCTTAGTGAGATAGCTGCTGTTCTGATTTTCAACTAACCTCCTGGTGTCTAGTGCATTGAAGAGGGTGGTAGGAAATGTAATCATTTAGTGAATTTGAACTACTATTTCCTGGTTTCCTATTTGGGGAGGCTTCCACAACAAAGCAAGACAGAGACTTGATTATTTCCTTTAGTAGATGATTCATTGCCTAGGCCTTATCAGATTAGTCAAGACAACCAATACCAAGACAGAAAAACTCCTCACCGTGGACATGTGTGTGAATGAACTTGAAGGACATTAATGACAGCACATATTGCAAGCACATTTTATGGTTGGTTTGTTTTTGTAGCCAGCAGGAGAACTAGAAACTTACTTTGAGAATGTTGCCTTTATTCTGTTCATGTCCTGGTGAGCAAGCTAGCTGACTATCCCCCCCCCCATCCACATAATCCTACTGGAATCTTAAGACTGCTCTGCTGGGTTTTCTTCTGGCTCCAAACCAACTTTCTAAGAATTACTATGCATCTCCTGTGGTGCAACTGAAAGCTATGCTGTTTTCCTTATGTACATGGAAGTACATAGGGAATAGCTAAATTTGACTCTTCATAACACCAGAATCAAGAGGAGCATACAACTTGAGGCAGGTAAACTATTTAGGGAGGAAGCAGGGTTGAAGAAAACCAGTATCTTTATTCCGCAACCACCACATCATCCCTATGAGGCTAATAAGCTGTTTAAGGGAAGTGTAGCAGTCCTGCTGGAAAGCTGTCCTGGTTCTAGGTTTTATTTTTGGAAGGGCTTGGGCAAGATCTCTGACGGCACCCACTTCCTGCTTACCACTGCCCATTCACTTGTCTCTTCCTCTGGACCTAATCTGCACCACTTCCCAGAGGGACAAGAGAAAGCTTGTGGAAGTTACTGCTCCTTCTCCTTACTTTACTCATTTGGAGAGCAAGGCTGAATGGGCAGTAGTGGTCAGGACCAGAAGGCTCCAGAGTATAGTCAGATGTCTAATGCCAATCCCCTATGTTAATCCTGGAGTACAGATCTAGTCAGGGTGTTTGTGTGCAAATCTGAAGGTGCTGGGATAGGATCTGACAAGTGTTATAGATGTTGGTTCGCAAGCCCCCCCTCCACAGAGGCTGGCCCCTCTCACTGTCCTCGGAGCTTGCATACCGGTAACCTCCTCTGGCTGACATCCAGACAGACCAGGGAGATTTTGATAGGCGACATTTTCCCAAGCGTGGGTAAATGCACACCCCCTCCCTCCTGCTTCTTCCCTAGCAGGGAAAGGAGACAAGTCAGAAACGTCTTTTACATTCTTTTATTTCTGACTACAGCACTAGAGAAAAACATGTCCTTTCAGTTCAGTTCTTCTAGCAAGTCTGACAAACTTCCTGCACATGCGCAAACGGAAGGTTTCAAATTACACTCTTCACAGAGCTCTGAGAAGCCTGTGAACTTCCTGGGAAATTCTTTCCCACAGATACAAGCTGGCTGTTTGCAGCTGCGATGTTCTCATATACTGACATCCTCCCCCATATGAATCATCGTTAGCTGCAGACAAAGCTTGATCCAGAGAAGAAAACAAACAGTTGTTATACATATAACAATCCCCTGTTGTTTCAGTTCCACCCTTGGAACTACCCGCCACTGGTTTCACCAATGTAACTCTCTGGTTGTCTGTTTTCCAAGGAATGAGTGCTTCTGCATTACCTTGGTTAGGGAATGTTGTGTTACGCTTAGCAACTCCCTGTTGTGTCTTTGTCTCTGACTTAGACATACCCTTAACCTGGCTTTTGTTGTCAACAATAGTAATACATGCAACAGCTGAACTAGCAAACTCTTGAGAATACCTCTTGGGGGGTACGCCCTTTGTGATTCTCTCAGACCTGCGTATGAGGTGCTGATCCTCTCTGCTGACTGGTTCATCCTCTGGGCTCCTTGGAGAACTTCCTGTACATGCGCAAACGGAAGGTTTCAAATTACACTCTTCACAGAGCTCTGAGAAGCCTGTGAACTTCCTGGGAAATTCTTTCCCACAGATAGCCGCATCTTGTGATGTCAACAAGCTGGCTGTTTGCAGCTGCGATGTTCTCATATACTGACAATAGATAGGGTTGCCATATTTCAAAAAGTAAGAAGCAGGTCCCCCAGAAAGTTGTTTTTCTAGAAAAATGCCAAAGAAACGCAATCTTTTTTTAATGACTTGCCAGAACAAAGCGTCGCCTTTCAGAAATCCCCCGGATGTCAATTCCGCCTTTTAAATCCCAGATGTATGGCAGCCCTATTTTAGACGCCTAACGTGTTCCTGTGCATCAGCACTCTTTCAAAGGCAATAATATCTGAATTTCAAGATAAAGAGTTTGTACCTGCTTGAAGATAGTTGACTTTCTTATACTGATGTTTAGAAAAATATTGTTGCCTCTGCAGAAAAGTGAATGGTTAAAACATATTGGGCATTAAAAAATTGTTGGAGGTCCCCCTTGCCCTTGCTCAATATGTTCTATCCTACCACCTTGCAGTAGGTGGTGGGCTTTTGGGGGGCTATATTGATTCTGTTCCCTCTTTCCTCTCTTGGATGTAGTTTATCCTGGGGAAACAGCTCCTCTCCAGCGTAGGCTACTTAGAGTAAAGTAGGAATGGGCTCTGTAAGACCTGAAAATAGGTTTCCTATGTTTTCTGTCTTTGGCAGTCAGAGACATTAGGAAACACATGGTAGCTTCTTGTCAGTTGGAAATTATATTTAGGCTGATATTTAGAGGAGTCCATGCATTCAATCCTTTCACTGATATTGCATCTCTTTTTGTATTCTAGGCCATATCCTTGTTGCAGGATGTAATAGATGAGGCTGGGAAAATGAAGGCAGCCACAGCCAATTTAGAGGATGAAGTACAAAAAATCAAGGATCACTTAGCATTGGTAAACTAGACCACACCTTATTTCCTTCTATTTAACCACTTTTCCTGTTGGGTCCACCTAACCCCTCAGAGTTCAGGAGGAAAGCAACACTGAGAGGATGAGAGGTTCAGCAGTCTGACCCACATGTTCAATGTGTTTGTCAAAGTGGAACTTTGCTCCCATTTTGATATATGTTTGGGGAGACCTACTGTTAAAGAAATGGGCTGATTGTCATTGTGTATTATTTGCCCCAGGCCTAGCCATAGGTCTGGAAGTGTTGGAAGAAGCCGTTCTCAGCCTTGGCAATCCAAAACTCAACCTGGCATATTCATAGAAGGCACTGGGATGCTATGCTTAATACTGTGTATTTTTGAGCAATATTGAATACCCAGATACATCCCCAGAGGCTATCCCATGAGAGCAATTCAGGTTTCTGGGCTGTGCTTTTGTTTCTTTGTTCTCTTGGAAACGTGATGTTTGCTCCTGTCCCCAAAGGCTTGTTGGGAGGGAAAATGGCCCCCTGCGCTATGCATTTGCTGTGAACTGGGCATGCATAAAGGTGCTTGAGTTTTATTTTCCCTGCAAGGCTTTTCCCCAGGTGCTCACCTCTTGTATTCTAAAAGTGTGGGGAAAACAAGCTCACTTTTGCAGTGCTCCTTTTACAACATTAGAACATGTTTGCACTCATACATTATTCCTGAGCAGCCTGGGGAAATCCTAAATTATCTTTTCCTTCCTTTCGCAGTTGGACCCCCATGCATTTGACGATCGACTGAAGACTTGCTTAAGTGATCAGATAAGTTTGGATAATGAAGTGGTATGTTCCCACACAGCTCCTCTACAGAACACCAGTCTCCATGCAGATAGCAACCTCTCCCTGCTGTGTGCTAGTTTTGCAGAGGACCAGATGTAAATTCAGTGACCTATCAGATTGCCATGGTCAATAGGCATTGGCAAATTCCGTCCACACTGGTCCCAAGCCTACTTCCCCACCCTGCCTGTTCCAGCACATCTGCAGTGTCAGACTAGCATACAGTGTTCAATTTGTCCATCAAGGGGAACCCAGCCACTCGCTGGCACATGATTTGTTCATTTTCTGTACTCCCAGCTTTGTGCTAATGTATCAGATTCATAGCATCAGAAGCTGCCTTGAAGATGTACCCTCACTGGTTAGTTCAAGCAGCACCTGCTAATCCCCATGTGTGTGTGTGTTGCAACATTCAGCACCTTCCCATCCCCGCCCTGTTGACACTTCTCCAAAAAGGGTTGTCCCATAGTTTGATGTACCCACTAGCTCTTCGCTGATATGTATCCTAGTCATCTGATACCTCTCCACAGCCAGGGTTCCTAATGAAGAATAAATGAAGGTGGCTGCAATGGCCTCTTCCATACTATTCATGGGGAATAAAGTGTGACCTCTTTAATGTTTTTGTTTGTCTGTAGAAAGACTTAGAGAAGAGGCTGAGCCAGTTTCCTTCCCCAGAGGAGATGAACAATATGGTGCGGTGGGACGTTCTAGAGGATGTCCTTGTGAAAGGGAAGAGGAGCCCATCTCCTGTGAGTATGATTTGTGTAGCAAAATGAAGATTGGAGGATAAAAGGTTTGCACATGAACGTTTTCTTCATGAAAAATACCAAGACAATGCATGCATCCTTTATATGTTGAATCTCACATCCTATTTATCCCCTTCACTTAGACCTATATTATTGTGTACAAAAAGAGTTTTCTACGTACAGTCTGTGCACCATGAAGCACATTTCTTCATCATCTTATGGCCAGTTCCAGGGGTGGGGGTAACATTTATTTTGTGCTAATTTTCAGTGGCCTCTGATCAGCCCAATGTGGGGCTTCGTTTTCTGCCTTTTGTATTTAATAAGCATGCAACAAAGTTGATGACAAGCTAGTGTATGGCTCACATAGATTGTTGTGGACCTTTCCATTCACCTCCACTGCTTGCCATCTGTCTGGTCACTATCTTGGCAGATGCTGGATGAAGATACTACTGTACAGGGCTTTATTTGTTCTGCCAGGACTCAGCCACAGCATCCGCCAGCAGCTCAGCTACAGTTTCAAGCCCAGAATACAAAAAGTAAAGCTAAATGAAAGTGCCCTTAAGCCAGATGCAGGGTGCATTTCCTTTGCTACTGAATAACTGCAGAGTATTTTCACACATCAGGAATATTGTTGGGCGGGGTGCAAGGAAAGCTTTTGGAACAGAAAGTGATGTTTCCAAACAGACCTGAGCCCCAACATCTCTCTTTAAAAAAAATAAAAAATGAAGCACTGAATGCATGACATAAAAATGCCACTTTTAAAGCATAAAAATGGGCAGATACATGAGGATGGAAATCACAAGTTAATCTAGCTACAAGTGTTCAAAGACTGGTCTTTCTGGACATTATCTGTTTTCCTGGCAGGCATCACTAATCCATCCTGGTGACATCATCTCAGCCTGTTTGTCCATACAGCATTCAGAAAGCTAATCGTACTTGCTGAAAAATAGCAAATATTATACTCCAATATGGGTATTTTCTGTGAAGTTGGTAATTGCCAATTGGAAGGTGGCCATGTCATCGTTTTCTGGTGCATCATGGTGAAGCCTGTATCCACATGGTTTTAAATTGGGGACAGTGTGGGAGGTAGAGGGTATCTCCGTTTTCCTCATAGGAGGTTGGCTTTGCTTATACTCTCCAGTGCTTGAGCACACGCCTCTTCTAAAACCTCAGAAACCAACCCAACCCCTTGAACAATGCTAGTTCTACCCCCTCCCCTTTGACTGCATCCCATGGCTGAAATGAATGTGTGACTAAGAGGGGTGCTTTATTCTCCCACTGCCACCAAAAGAAGGTAAGTGTTTAGAAAGGGTCCTATGTTAGAAGCACAAAGCTGTTTGCACAAGGCCATTTCCAGACATTTTTCTGCCTGAGGCAGAACAACAAACAATGCTTTCCCCCACTGGTCAAGGTCAGTATTTATCTTGTGTATGTTTTTAGCCTGGAACCTGGAGCAGACAGTGATGGTACCAGGTGTGGGGAGAGCATTCCTCACACGGGGAGCCAGCCTTCTCATAAGGCCCATTCTCATGTTGCCACCCTCCGCACCTCTCTTGTTGAAGGCACACAACAAAGTTTTTCTGATGATTGCTGTGTCTGGGTAGGCTCATGTGCCAAGAGGCAGTCCAAGAAGTATTAGAGTCCTTAGCTGCATAAGGCTTCATTAGGTCAAAATCAGCACTCAACAAAATCAGAGTTAAGCCCAGAAACTAATTGGTAGCTAGTGTAGTCATGCCATAATTGGTGTTAAATGCTTAGGTCGTCTTGCCCCATGAAGAGTCTGATGAAGCGAACTCTAGTCCGTAAAAACTTGTGCCATAATAAATTTATTAGTTATTAAGGTGTCACAAGGCTCTTTGTTGTTTTTATTTGCACTTGGTTCTCCTGTGCATACTGCATTTCCTGGATCTTGAAGAAAAATCTGTGTCCTGAGCATAACCGTGTTGCAGTGTTATAAAGACTATGCAAGTTTGTATTTCTTTCACTTGAGAGCAAAGGCATGCAGGAGTTTGAGAGAGAGAAAAGCAATTTAGCACCTAAACAATAATGTGAGAACACCTATGGGCTATTGTTTTAGCCCCTGAAGAACATTTAAAACAGTGCAGCTCCAAAGCACCCATTTAGAATTGTCGTAAGCATCATTAATTTCACATTTCCATAGAGTCACAGAGCAGCTAGTGTCCCATAAGGCCAGTTAGGGCAAAACTTGCATGCATGTTAAATGCCTGCATTTGGATATATAGCCAGTTTCCACAAAATAATGAACTGTTTTAAAATGGTATGATAGATTCATCACTGTAGATCATCTGAACATGTGCAAAGTACAGATCTAAAAAAGATACCACTTCACTGTAGCATCTTTCCATGGCTTAATGATTAGTTTGAGGCCAGGCTTTGGGCTCTGGACCCAGCCGTTTCTTACCTCCAGACTTAAAAGAATTCAGTGAACAGCAAAATGAAATATTTAGGATTCCTGACAAAGGTACAATAGCAGGAATTCTAGAAAATCTACCAAGCTACTTGCTTTCTTACCATTTGGGAAACTCAGCACTTGGTTGGTCTATTCTGAAATGTGCATAGAAATTGTTTCTGGCCAGTGTAATTCTTCGTTCTACATCAGAATCTCAATAGAAGGAAATCACTGCAGTGAAATATTCCCTCTTGGTTTATATGTACTCTGATTCCATGAGTGAGTCTTTCCAGTCTCTCAGTCAACATGGTATAATTGAGTGAAGCAGAGTGTTACTTTTCAGGCTGTTTCTATGTCTAAAAGCAAGTCTTCATGATGGAGAATCAGCTGTAATCCATGGGCTCCTGCTTTTTTTCTTTTTCTTATTAAGTGCAGGATCAGGTGTCAGTTTCTGCTTTTTGATCTGAACAGCAATAATATTTTAAGAACAAAAAGTAGTTCTGACTGAGTGTGTGATGGTTCTTATGCATTCCTGCATAATTTCCCTGTAGATCTTGGACAGAGGTAGCATAAGCTAAAGACTGCAGAACCAGAGGGATAAAAGGAGTATTTTACTGGTTTATGCCACTCAATTCTGGTCCTTATTTTCAGTACCAGCCTAGACCCCTTGAACATGGCAAGTAATAGTAATGAAAGGTTGCCTCTGAGCACATGCAGATTGTCTTCCTCTCATCAGTGAGTTAACCACAGTTAACTCCCATTGTGGGCAAAGAAAAAGCACTGAAGCTTATGAATGAAATTGCCCAGCCGCTGCTCCTGAACAAAGGAGGGTTTATGAGCTTTTCAGTAGAGACACTGGGGCGGACTTGGATCATTCAAATTTCAGCGGCGCCTTGTGACACTAAGAATGCCATTTCCTATCAAAGGCCTCCTAGATCTGAATCCAGCAATCTTACCTGTTGTACCACACTGTCCTTGGACACTTAGGAAACTTAAAAAGGTCATTTCTTGTGGCCTTAGCCAACTACGGGCAATCAAGTCAACACCTCAGATTGTGCAGCATGTATTGTTAGTTTGAATTAAGGATGTTCCAAAACCAGTTGACCTGCTTCCAAAGTGACAAAGCCCTTTGATTTCCTGAGGGGTTGTGGCATGGGTGCTGGCCGCCATCTTGGATTTGCTCTGGCGCAGCCCTGCAGTTGAAGGTGGTTGTAGTGTTCCTGATACACAACGGACATGAGGAGTTCTTGTGAAGTCAACTGCAAGATGTGAGATGCCTGTGATAATGCCCTGAGCTAAAGTTACCCTTGCTTTTGTCACTCCTCTCTATATGTTTCTAGGTGACAAGTCCAGTTCAACACTCTCCAACTGATTCTGCCACCTCTCCAGAAAGCAGAGCCACTCCTGGATCTCCGGGAACTTTGCCTGGCACTCACAGAAGAGAAGGAACACCGGCTGGTGCACCAGGGGCTCCAAGAAGTGCTCCAGCAGGCATTCCTGGAGCTCAGCCTGGTGTTGCTGGCGCTCCAGGGGCCCAGCCAGGAGCTCCAGGGGCCCAGGCACCCTATCCCGGAGCCCCTGGAGCCCAAGCACCCTATCCCGGGGCACCTGGGGCCTATCCCGGAGCCCCTGGAGCCCAAGCACCCTATCCTGGGGCACCTGGGGCCTATCCCGGAGCCCCTGGAGCCCAAGCACCCTATCCTGGGGCACCCGGGGCCTATCCTGGAGCACCCTATCCTGGGGCACCCGGGGCCTATCCCGGAGCACCCTACCCTGGGGCACCCGGGGCCTATCCTGGTGCTCCTGGAGCCTATCCCGGAGCCCCTGGAGCCCAAGCACCCTATCCTGGAGCACCTGGGGCTTATCCTGGTGCACCTGGGGCCTATCCTGGGGCTCCTGGAGCCCAGCCTGGTGCTCCTGGAGCCCAAGCACCCTACCCTGGGGCACCCGGGGCCTATCCCGGAGCCCCTGGAGCCCAAGCACCCTATCCCGGAGCACCTGGGGCCTATCCTGGGGCTCCTGGAGCCCAGCCTGGTGCACCTGGAGCCCAAGCTCCATACCCTGGAGCAGCCGGGGCATACCCTGGGGCACCTGGAGCCCAGCCTGGGGCACCTGGGGCTCAACCTGGAGCACCTGGGGCCCAGCCTGGCGCACCTGGAGATGAAACAGCCTATCCTGGAGGCCTGGCACCCTATCCCGGAGCCTATCCTGGAGTCCTTGGCGCCCAGCCTGGTGAAGCCTTCCCTGGAGGCGCTGTCATTCCATGGATACAAGCTGGATTTCCCGGACCCCCTCCATTCTATCCTGGTTCTCCTGATGCCCAAGCCGGGTACCTTGGTCAGCCTGGGATTCTTTGGCCCAGTCCTCTTGGTTACCAGCCTGGTGAGGGGGCTGGTGCGCAGCCTGGAATGCAGCTTGTATTGCCCCCTGGGCCTGTCCTTGGAGCTACACCTCCCGCATCTCCGCTGCTCTCCGCCCCAACCCCCATGCCATTGTCCGAGTCTGGCTCCACTTTAGCCCCAGCCCGCTACTCTGAGACTGTGGATGCCCTGCGGTCTCTCGCTCAACTGACGGACTTGTACTATGCTCTGCGAGATCAGATCAGTCTCCTAGATCAATTCAAGTGTGGCTACGCCGATCTCCGCAGGCTGCAAGACTTCCTCACAGATGCACGTATGTATTGCATGTGTACTGGTTTTCTGGGTTTCTGTTTTAAATGGCAAATATCTGGAACCTGCTTCAGCAAATTTCCAACAGGTTGGGCTACCATTTTTTTCTGGGAAGGGAAATCTAAAAATGTAAGCCCACCCAAATGTTTGGAGGGTTGATTTAGGGGTTAGAGCTAACCAGGAGCATGCAACCTGTTGGACGTTTCCTGGCAGCATTTCTTGGGCAGTATGGTCAGTGATGATGGGCATAATGTTTGGAGGGTCAAAGGCCACCCATCCATATGAGGAATGAGCATGTTCAGTGGGCACATGCAGGGAGGCTAAATGGAGATGCATTGAGTATCCTGGAAGGTAGCTTGGCTGGAATAGGAGCCTTCCACGTTTTAATTCCTACTTGTATACAGTCATACCTTGGTTCTCGAACGTAATCCATTCCAGAAGTCCGTTTTACTTCCAAAAACATTAGAAAACCAAGGCTCGGCTTTCCATTGGCTGCAGGAGCTTCCTGCACTCAATCGGAAGCTGTGTCAGACGTTCGGCTTCCAAAAAACATTTGCAAACCAGAACACTTACTTCTGGGTTTGCGGTGTTCGGGAGCCAAAACGGATGAGTACCAAGGCATTCGAGAACCAAGGTACAACTGTGTATACTAACAGCAAACTTTCTTTCTGTGAGTGCTGAATCTTATTTAATTAAACTGGCATCATCCACCCACAAGAGGGAGCTGTAGGCTTGTTTGTGGGGAGAAGGGGGACCCCAAAGTTTGCAACAACAACAACAAAAAACTGAAACCCCAAAACAGTGTGCACTGATACTGTTCAGTGCACTTGGAATGGACTATTCTTAAAGAAGCGGGGGGGGGGGGATGGGATGGACTATCCCTACAGGGGACATGGCTGTTTGGCTGGAGCCCTGAATTGGGCTCTACATTGTTTTGTCACCTGATGGCTCACTTGTATATATTTATAATACTACTGTGTTTTTGCTGGATAGTTTACCGGAACATTGCTCTCATCCCACCTGATCTTCCTGAAAAGCTTGCTGCACTCCAGGCCATGGAAGAAGACATGAAAACTGAGAAAGAGAAGGTAGGGGACTGTCAGGGAGAGAATATGCTGCCTTACTTGCAGCAAGAATGTTTTCAATCAGGTTTTCATATAAGAGGTAATTTGCCCAGTCCCAAAAAGCAACCTGTTCTTAGAAGCCATCAAAACATATCCAAAACATAAAGTTCATTGTATCAGCACTCAACCTTTAAAGTGTTATGAATGGAATATATTTTGACCAACTTCTTAAACACCAAGGTGGGAGGGACTTTCTTGAAGTTGCACAGTCAATTGGCCACCATTGAGAGCACCCTACTACAGGCATCCCCAAACTTAGCCCTCCAAACGTTTTTTGGGACTCCAACTGCCATCATCCCTAGCTAACAGGACCAGTGGTCAGGGTTGATGGGAATTGTAGTCCCGAAACATCTGGCGGGCCAAGTTTGGGGATGCCTGCCCTACTACTTGAAACAAGCTTCTGGGTATCAGAAATCCAAGCCACTTAAATTGAAAGCTGAGATTTTGAGAACTGTAAGCTGGTTTGCATGCTACTTTAATGGCAGAACTTGTAGAAATGATTTTATATTTCTGATTTCCTGCAATCCGTCATTTCTGAATTACAGTGATGTTTGTTAGCTACAGGAGGTATCGGGTGCTCACAATTCCTACCATGGATGAGATCAGTGAGACTCAGTTGTTATTTTTCTGTGCTTCTGCAAATTGCAATTTAAAATAGAATGTGCACTAGCTGCTTGAAGCTCAGTGGAGTATTTGGGTGGGCCTAGTGTGGTTCCCCTGTCTGTCTGGGTCACAGTGACCACCTAACTTCACCAGGCTTAGTTTGATCCTGCATCCTGTTGTTGTCATTTCCTTGAGTCTCCTGCTGACGCTTTGTCAATTGCTCAGGGTCTAGTTTTGCTTGGTTGTAGCAGTAAACATGTGCTGAAAATAAATCTGCCTTCAGGATCGTTAAAGGGGATTGTTATTTAATTATAATTGCTCCCCCCTTTTTTCTGAATATGATGACAGTATTCCCAATGTCAAGCTCAAGCTTTCTCTCCTTTTTTGTATTTCTTAGTTCCTTTAACAGGGGAATTCATCACTCTACTATTTTCCCTTTACAACGTTACTATTGCTCATGATCTTCATTTAGCGAACATATAACCTTTTCAGTATATTCACAATGTAGTCATATAGTTTACTTTTGGTTGCTGTTGTTGAGGTGTCTTTAAGGGTCTTTAAAAGACGTGCTCTGTTTTTTTTGAGATGCTATGGGTGGTGGTTAATCTTCAGCCTGATTTTGTGACTCTAAACTTGAAACTCAGCCAGTAGAACCCCAATGTTGTGAATCATGATGATGCTCCAGTTACCAATGAATCAGTTTAATATTCCTCATAGGAAGCACCTTCTAAATCTCTAGACCTGAACCTTAGCTCTGGTATATGTGGATGTAAACTATCTATTGTTTACAACACGGGGAGGTGAGGATGTGCCCCTTTCTCCCAGGGACTTTCCATAAAGGAAAATTAGTTTTTCATGACCAAAGTTCTTCAAGGCAAGTATGGCTTTTGATCCCCCTACCCCAATTGTGATTCTAGTTAAACAAGATCCAGAATGTACTTGAAGGAGAGCTGGCAGAAACAGATGACAAACTGGAAGGAGCTGGTCAGATCAACATGCAGATAGGTTTTCTGAGGTAAATAAGTAGCCACTAGAGGAAGCCACCAAATAGGCGAGTCCAGTCTCAGTCTTATCAGCTAAAACATTGGCCTGTCATGTTTGGTGTCACCACAACAAACTTAATTGTGGAGTTACGTAATTGTTTGCTGTACAGTGGGAAGCCAGAATGGGATCTTTACCAGTTAATAGTTCCATGGAAGTTGAGGGGTCTTTCTCAAGAGTGCAGCTGAAATAAGATGCCACAAAGAATTGCTCAGTGAAAATTAGAAGTGGTTTGACATTTCACTGGCTTTCTAGCATATACACACTTTAAAAAAGTGTGTTTTGAATTTTTTTCAATCATATTTTGGAATGTCATCGGTATTTTTTCCCCCCAGGCAGATTAAATAGAAAACTCTGTGTGTGGAGCAGCTTTCTCTGACCTGGTGCCCTCCAGATGTTTTGGACTATAACTTCCACTAGCCCCAGCTAGAATGGCCAGTGATCAACTTCCAACGATGGGAGTCGTAGTCCAGCAACATCTAGAAGGCAGAAGGCTGGCAAAGTAGCTCCTTTGCTTTATAGCACCAATGTACACACAGAAGAAGGGATGCGGGTGGCGCTGTGGGTTAAACCACAGAGCCTAGGACTTGCCGATCAGAAGGTCGGCGGTTCGAATCCCCGCAACAGGGTGAGCGCCTGTTGCTCAGTCCCTGCTCCTGCCAACCTAGCAGTTCGAAAGCACATCAAAGTGCAAGTAGATAAATAGGTACCACTCCAGCGGGAAGGTAAACGGCGTTTCCGTGTGCTACTCTGGTTCGCCAGAAGTGGCTTAGTCATGCTGGCCACATGACCTGGAAGCTGTACGCCGGCTCCCTTGGCCAATAAAGCGAGATGAGCACCGCAACCCCAGAGTCGGCCACGACCGGACCTAATGGACCCTTTACCTTTACCTTTACACACAGAAGAGATTTCAAACACAACCACCCAAACCCGTTAATTTGTAACATAGTTAGAAATTACTTAAAACATTTTTATGCTGCCATATATATATATATATATATATATATATATATATATATATATGTCAGAGCTGCTTCCAGATCCTAGCTCACAGAGGATCACGCTAGCCAGCGATCATTAAACAAAAGTCTTTATTGAGTTACAATTTCCATTCTCAAACTGCTGCGTGCAACTCTACGTCTCATGGTTAGACCGGCGAAGCTCCGTCTGAGTCTCCGCCCCTTGTACACCAACTTAATATCCTAGCCCTGCTCCACCTTTTCCGCCTGACTGTTCTTCTCTGGGTCCCTCTGCCCCCTGGGGTCTCTTCTTTCCGGGATTCCTCTGACGCTGACGCTGACGCTGACCCCCCTGACTCTTCTCCCTCCTTTCGGCGGGCTTTAGGACCTGGCTCCCTTTCCGGGCTGCCTACTGTGCCACCTTCCTGTGCATTTGAACTGGCGCGCGCGCCCAACCTTCCACCTTCCGTCTGACCGTTTCTTCGCTCCCCGATGGAGGTGTGGCCACTCCTGACTCGTGCCCTCCCCCCTGTTGTGAGCTGCCAGCGCTTGATCCCTGGTTCCCTTCCTCTTCCCTGCTCTCTGGCGGTGACGCTGGTCCCGATTTCCAACTGCTCCCCTCTGAGTCCCCTCTGGCTCTATCTTCCTGGGGCGTCCCCCTAGGCTCCCCCTTGCCCTGGCCACTGGTGCTCCTTTCTGTGAATCTTCTGATTCACTGGAAAGACTCGGAGATCTCGGGTCGTCGTCATCACTCATCTTTTCTTCTGCCTCCTCCCCCTCGCTCTCTGTTTCCTCCCTTGCCCTTGCCTCTGCTCCTGAACCCCTGACAATATAGACATAGATATATAACAAAATAGTTATAAAATGTGAATGTGCAGAAATGAGTGTTGAGAGGTATTGTGACAAGGCCAACTCTTAAAAGGTGTGAGTACACCACAGAAAGGTCTTGCATCCCCCAAATAAATCGTGTGGGGAGATAGGGAGGCCTAAGCAGCTGCTTAAGACTGGACCCAGTAGATGGAGCTGAGGCTTGGCAGAGGTCAGTGTGGGAGCCCCTTTTCCAGTTCTGGCATCCCTCCTGTAAAAGAACACCATACAATTAAAGCACCAGTATACCACTTTAACTGTCGTGGCAGGCTTCTCCCAAGGAATCATGGGAGTTGTAGTTTGCTAAGAGTGCTGTGAGTTTTTAGCATACCCCTCACACAGCCACAGTTCCAGCACTCTCTTAATAAACGTCAGCGACCAGTATATGAGTGCTTGTGAGAAGATCACGGATGCTACTGACATGCAGTCCCTCCAATAGTATGTCTCTGGCTGTGAGGAAGTGTGATGTGATTTCATTGTTTTGGGGGCTTCCTTTGCTTTATTGACTGGCACCTTCTGAGGGCAGGAAAAATGATCACCTCACTTCACTCTACCGCCACATGTAACTAGGATGACTCAGTTACGGTTTGGCAGTGTCTGCATCTATCCCTTGGGTGCCAGGAAGGAAGGAAGGAAGGACTCAAATGATGGACTTGGTCCATATTGTTCCTCTCGTCAGGGGCTTAATTACAATTGTGTGGGAAATGGCTCCCATGCCTCTAATTGTAAGTGTGAATGTGCTGAGGAGCCCAGCACTCCTGGGTCAGAATTTCTGAAAGAAGGAACACTGTGTAGATATATTGTGAGTCTTATAAATTTTGATGGATTCGTCATGTTCTGAAATAGGGAACATCCTTTATGTTTTATTGTACTCACAGTTTTCTCATGTTAATTTTAAAAAGTATTAAAAGTTTTTCACAATGCAATAAGATAACAACTACAAAAACTACAAACAGAACAAGTAGAATATGGAGAGTGAACTCGCAGTTTTCTAAGGGACAATTGCCATAAGAAACACCTGGCATTCCTAGGAGACAGTTGTCATTTGTAAACCTTAGAAAGAGATATTTTAAGCTCCACACCCCCAAACTTAAAGTTCTCTAATTCACAGTCGTGAAGGCCCCTGCAAGTGGTCTGTCTTCCTCAAATTGATTATGCATTTCTGGAAAAAAGTAGCTAGAAGCCAGGATGATTTCACATATCGTTGGGGCATTTTGCAGTGCAATGTGACTTGATTACAAATAAATATGCCAAAGCAAACCCCCTACCCTTGAAAGCTGGCCAAGAAGGTGCATTTAGGGAGTGATTGTGGTCTAGTTTCAGTGACCCCAGTTTACCCCAGAACAGTGTTGTGAGTGTTTCTGATTTCCTAGAGACACACACTCCAAAAACGACTTTCTTTTTCCTGTTTGGTGAGTAACTCCTCTCTATTGTTGTTGGCTTTGCGGTACAGAGCAACAGTGCAGGATATAGAGAAAGAGCTAAAGGAGCTCAGAAACAAGCAGGATACGGGGAAAGCCAAGCTGGAGCAGTCAGTGACCGACACTGCCATCTACCTGCAAGAACAGGTCAGCGAGTGGAAATGTGAGGTCTTTCTTCCTGGCTGCCAAGAATCAGTCACATGGTTTCCCCTGGCCATTAGTTTGGTTTCAGGTCCGTTGCCTGCCAGATCTCCTCTTGAAACCTCTGCGCTTTGCAAGGGCTCTGTAGAGGTGGCTCTTTCACAGTGAGAATAAAAGCATGAGACTTAGCTTTCTAAGGCAGGAGCCAGACAGGGCCAAATCTGCTTGGAAATTCTAGGAAAGAATATTGGTCCAAGTTCTTCTGCTGACACCTTAAGCTGACAGCCACCTTGTAGTTAGCCAGGAAGAGTAACAGTAAAGAGGGAGTAAGAATCTCTTTCCAGTGATCAGCTTGCCAGACACACTTCTTCAGGTTGCCCTGAAGAAGTACACTCCTAAAATTGTAACTTTCTTGTACCGTTGGGTTCAGCTGTGTCATTGGGTTTGCTAAGCAGGAGTTTGCAATGATGCTGTCCTTGATTTAATAAGCATGTCCTGCTGTCATGAGGGGAAGCCCACAAGTCTAGGAACAGTTTTGATCTAATTTGGGAGGACTGATTCCACTTTTGCAAGTAGATAGGTAGCTGAGAGTTCTCTGGGCTGGCTTAGGATATATGTCCCTGCAGGATCCCCACAGTTGGTACATGGACAGCTGCCTGTTTTTATTTTTAATGAAAAGCTCCCTTCCTAATCCTCCAGATAAGGGAGGCTGCCTCAAGCTCTGGCTGCTTCTGCTCAGTGGGGCAGACTCTGGTTGCCTTGCTTTCCTGCTGCCTTGCAGGGCCTTTTGCTCTGGAGTTGCCAGTGTTTTGAACCAGCCCCTGTAGCTTTCTGCTTTTAACAGCCATTTGTTTTGCAGCTATGAGCAGGTATTAATCTTTGGCTCCATGTTGTGTAAAGCATCACCTGCTGTTTCCCACATATCGAACCTCTTCTAGAGGTATAGAGAAGGAGGCCACACTGTCCTGTTCCTCTCCCCCAATGGTAACCCTGTTTCTTTCCCATAGCCATCCAGTTTAGTTTTTTGGAATGCTCACTTTCTGCTGTTGTGGATTTGTAAGGGAAGTCCTACCCACCCATAACCTCTTATTGGCTTCCCACTGACAGTCAGATGAGTAGCTTGACTTTTGACCATTCAGCATCAAAGGTGATGAGATTAGTTCATTTGTCCCCCCCCCCCCCCACCAAGCATCCCCTAAATCATCTATGCAAGTCCAAATGTAGGAATTCCCAAATAAAGTGATGGAGGAACCATGTCGTCAACAACCCCAAAGGAGGTTTTCCCCAAAGAGAAATGGGGTTCTCTAAGCCTCTGTCTGCTCCTGCACACTTCCACATTTGAGGAAGCTGTGGGAGCTCAGACCCAGTGGTGCTCCCTACATTTCACGCTGTTGGCTTAAGACAACCTGGGATACTTTTAAAACTGAAGGGCAAGGTGCTAAAATGCCCCAAGTTGCTTCCAATTAGCGATTGCAACAATGAAACTGTAAAGAAGTTACCAAATAATTGCTAAAACATCCACTGCATTAAGCAGCTTGAATAGGCATGGACTAGTAAAACGGTACTTGCTTGGGGAACAGAAAGGTTCAGCAGGAATAGATCCTCGGTGGAGCAAGCATTCCACAGATGGGGTGCCACCATGAAAAAAGCCCTTTCCCCCAGCCTCACTTCTAAAGTCAGGAATACCCAGGGAAGGGCTTCAGAAGGAGATCTTTCAGCAGGTTCCTGCTGCACTCCCCAGGGAATCCACTCCTGCCATGCGTTCTCAGGGAGCTCCAGGGCAGCTGCAGCAGCCAAGGGCCTCACGTTTCTGACACCTTTATGATACCCATTTGTAAACAGATGCAACTTTGCCATGAGCCACACCAGATGGGAATGAGTGAAGTGCAGAAGGGTGGCAGTGTAGCCACAGCCTGATCCTAAAGGGGTCCGTGTTAGCTAAAATGGCATCAACAGTGGCACAGAAATCCCAGGCAAATGCCCTTGGCAGTAAGAGATATTTGTGAGCGACTGTGTAGAGGCAGGGGGAAAGGGAGGGGACTGTAGAGTGTCCTGTGTTGGGCAGTGAACCGGCACATGGTGAAATAAGTGCCACTCCTTGGCCACCGAAACCTCCATCCGCTCCCCCTTGACAGCCTGAGAGCTAAACCAGAGATTGCGCTAAATGCATCTGTTCAAATTGCAAGGGGGCAAGGACCAATTTTCATTGGACTGCAGAACGTGCAGAAGACTGGCTTAACTCATACAAACCCCCATAGTCCTAACAAAAATCATTTTCACAAATCTTGCTATTAACTCTGTGTGTGGAAGAGCTCCTACTGGCACCAATGAAAGCTTCCCTTCCAGAGTGAATAGAAACTTTGGCTTCTAGGGTATATGTCATGTCCATATTGGTCCGTGAGAGTTTAGCAGACCCTGCTTTCTAAAACTTCCACCCCATCTCTAGTCATGAGCTCTAGAAACTTTTATCTCTTAAGATGCCACTGGGATTCTTGGCATTATGGTTGCGTTGCCAGACCCTGCCTGCTCCTGCCTGAAAATAATGTAATAAATTGTTGTTGGTGTCCATCTGTCTTGAGAGACAATGGAGTGGGCCAATTAGAGCAGCACGATATAGCTGCCGCCACCCGTACTCGACCCCAGTTCTGTGGAAGATAGGAAACATTTTGTCGTCTGACTCCCTTGTCTAAAGCTGGACTCCTCCTTCTCTCCCTTGCCCACAGTTAGACAAGCTTAGAGGTGTCATAGAGAACATGATGGCTTCCTCGTCCACGCTGCTGTCCATGAGCATGCCGCCTACCCCGGAGCCTGGGGTGGCTCAGGTCCAGAGCACATGTGCAGCTTGCAGCTTAGATGTCAGTGAGAAGGTTAGCCAGCTGTTCAAGCGCTATGAGCAGCTGCAGGACTTGATTAACAACTTCATGTTAAGGCAGGCAGAAGGCAAACTAGCCAAGAAACCCAAGCACCGCCAGGTAAGGCCAGCGCAAGAACGTGACCTCAGGTTTCCAGGAGGAGGGCAGAGGGAGGACTTCAGGGGGCTCTGTGTGGATGCTGAGGCCTGATCTGAGACTTAGTGGTAAGGCCTGAAGAAGGCTCATTTGGGGAGTTACGTGCTGGGAAGCCGCGGCACACTGAGGCTTGGAAGCAGAAGCTACAGAATCATAGAAGGGCTCTCCAAATGCATGAGTCAACCTGCTGTCCTCAGACGGCATTATGTGTGCATCTGTATTCATATCATTTATTATCCTGCCCATCCCTAGAGATGGGATCTCTGAATCCCTCTCCCATCCTCCAAAGGGGCATAGAGAGATTCTTGTCCTAGGTAACATAAGCAAGGAATTAAGAAGGATTGAACAAGCCATCCTACCATAGATAATGGTTATGTCCATGGCTTTTTTGTGATTCTGTTTTCTCATATGGCATCTTTTTGTTCTTTGTGCTCTGTAACAAAGTGCCAGGATTTGTGCTTTCTTTTGTATGCTGAAACTGTATTAATATCATCACCAAGGGGCAGAATGGAAGTACAGTGCAACATCAATGATAACTAGGGGCAGGGGTGAGAAAAGCACACGTGTTTCCATTCAGAGAGGAGACACATGCAAAGGCAGAACCCACAGGTGTCTGCTCCTAAATACAAAGTTTTTGCTTGATAGTGTACTGTCATCTTCAGGCTGTAGTTCTGATCCAATGTAGATAAAATACGCATTGCACCAAAACTAAAGGGAATTAACACACTTGGGGAGGGATTTAATTAAGGAGACCCATGTCAATGTTGGCTTTCATTACTTTGTTGCTTTTGCAACCAGGATGAAGAGATGCTCAACCAGATCCAAAGCACCATCCTGCAAGTTCAGGATGACTGTGAGAAGCTGAACGCCACTGCAGGCACTCTTGTAGAAGATCATCGCCAGAAGCAGAAGGAGATCAGTGTAGGTGATCTTGACGCCAGATTAGAGGGTCAAATGACATGGAACATTCCCAGTGTTGTTGCTTCACGAGGATTTGGTGGTGCTTCCTCCAGGGGGAAGCAGCTGGCTCTCCTCCCTCTGCTTAAGCAAGTGCAAAGCAGGTGACTGAGGTCATGAGACTATAGTGGTGGCAGCAGTACTGGATATCCAGCTGGGTTTGTTGGCATTTGGTCCAAGCAGCTACAAATCAATCAGCATCAGCAAATCACCTCTTACAGCAGATATGCCAACATTTGGTATGGGGGAGGCAGCCTGTTCTCCAGGGGCCATCGTGTTCCCTGCCACCCAGACCCCTCATGGGAGAACCAGCTGTATAATAAGCCACCAAGTAGCTGCCAGCCAGATTGTCCAAAGAAAAAGGAGTGATACTAAGATGTGCAGTATCTTGGCTCCTTGCTGCTGTTGAAAATAACTTTGTTTTTTCTTACAAGTGGGTAAGAGTTCTATCTGATGTTCACTAAACTTGGTAGGGTTGCCAGGGGCCCCATCAAATCACCCTGTTGCCCTCCTTGGCAAGTAAGCATCCTCCCACCCCCACTCTGCCCCCAGTATCGATTCCCAAAATGTTGAGCTAGTTGACCTAAAGCATGCTTTGTCAATACACTAGCCTACAGTCTGTTATCACTCATGAGATAGAAGCATGTTTGGAATGACAGTTGTGTGATTTGCAGTATTTGGATGCAATGAGACCTTGCAGAACATGTGCTAGTAAATGAATATATATATAAAATTTTAAATAAAAGTATAGTGGGAATGAAGAACTCTGTGGCCTTCCAGATGATGTTGGACTACAAACAACTCCCATCATCTCTGATCATAGGCCATGCTGCCTGGGACTGATGGGAGATGAAGTTGGAAACATCTGAAGGGCACCAGATTCCTCTGCCCTGCTGAGTAGGAATGTGAGTCTCTGGGTAACCACCTTTGATTATTTTGCTTTGTGCTCTTTACAGATGTTGTTCAAGTCCCTGGAGAGACTAGAAAATGTAAAAGCGGACAAAGACAGCCTAGTGATGGAAATTGATGTGGTGAGGAGTTGTACTTGATAACACATCACAGTTGTCCCATGCGCATCGAGCCATGGCTAGGTGCTCCTACATAAGCTCTACTTGCAGAGGGAGCTAGCGTATGAAGTAGATGGGGCCTGGATTCTGCTCCCAGCTCTGCAGCCAACCTGTAGGGCAGTCATTAGCAGTTTGCATCCTCTTTCTGGAGTTGAACGGGGATTCTGTGGCTTGCCATCCTTATAGATTGGAGGGAGATGCTCTCTGGACATGCACACTCAGAGCTACTGATGGGAAGGGTGGGGGTGTTCTTTGTGATACAGATCTTACCATAGATATGCCCCCATCTTTCCCCCTACTTTTCCAGAAAGCAGATAAGGCTGCCCTTGCTGCGAAGGTCAGCCGTAGCCAGTTTGATGCCACCACGGAGCAGTTGCATAAGATGATGCAGGAGCTGTTGAACAAGATGGCTGGGCAAGAACAAGATTGGCAGAAGATGCTTGACAAACTCTTGATTGAAATGGACTCCAAGGTAAGCAAGGCTCTTGCCTTGCCCATGATTCACAGCCAGGCCAATGAGGGCATCCCAAAGTGCCGAGAGCTTCCCATGTTTGCGGCTCAGTGCTGTGGAATGTGGCTGGGAGTACCCAGTGACTCATTCAGAAGCACATCCCTTTCTGCCCTGTTCCCAACACTTACTGTAAGTGCTTATGCTGGTGAGCCAGCCATGCATGTCTCATTGCTCGTGTCTGTCCCTGACAATCAGGTGAGCCAGGGTAGGCTGAAGGGTAGGAATATGCATGATTCCTGCCTCTAAATACTGGCTTCCAGTTTGTTTCTGGACACAATTTGAAATGCCGGCATTTACCAGTAAATCTCTATAAACAGGATGTCTGAAGTAGGGATGGACAGGCCAGTCTAATTGCCAACCAATGCGTGCTTTACATGTGTTCACTCATGGGTCCCATTCTATCCCATTTTCTGCATCAATCTTTTTAATGCCTATATATTTTTTTTAACTGTTTAATATGTTTGATTACATAAAATGGGATGCGGGTGGCGCTGTGGGTAAAACCTCAGCGCCTAGGACTTGCCGATCGCATGGTCGGCGGTTCGAATCCCCGCGGCGAGGTGCGCTCCCGTTGCTCGGTCCCAGCACCTGCCAACCTAGCAGTTCGAAAGCACCCCCGGGTGCAAGTAGATAAATAGGGACCGCTTACTAGCGGGAAGGTAAACGGCATTTCCGTGTGCTGCTCTGGCTCGCTAGAGCAGCTTCGTCATGCTGGCCACGTGACCCGGAAGTGTCTGCGGACAGCGCTGGCTCCCAGCCTCTAGAGTGAGATGAGCGCACAACCCTAGAGTCTGTCAAGACTGGCCCGTACGGGCAGGGGTGCCTTTACCTTTACATAAAATACATATTTGTGTATGAACTTTGTCCTTAAATACACATTTTTGAATGCATTTCAGTATTTTTATTATCTTTAGCCTGAGAACTATATTGCAAAAATAATAAGGGTGCAAAAAGTGGAGGATAATTGTGTTCTAATCTGCTGTCCAGGAATGCAAATCAGACCGGGTCACTTGAAAATGACAGGCCAAATGAAATAGTTGGGCATCCCTAGGCCGAAGGCTTGCCTTCTTCTATAGAAACCTGCCTGTTCATACCAATTGTCATCTGAGGCTCTTCTCTGCTAGCCTGCCTTCAGAACCTGCAATAATTTCTTCTTTCCCTTTTAAGTTTCTTTTAATTTAAACATACAAAACATATGAACATTTCCATTCTTTACACACCATACAATTATCTTAAATGTTCCAACTCACTCCCTCTCTAAAACAATGCAGTGTAAGTTAATATGCATTTTTGTATGCTAATATTGCCATCCAGCCATTAATTATTTAATATAGCTTTTATGGTCTTTCATGCTGTTTTCAAAGTATCTCATTTTCAGCAGTGAGAAAGCATTAAATGACCCTCAGTTAAATCTTTGCTTCATTTAATTGGTAAAGGGGGAACAAAATATTTCAATTTGTTCTTGTCTCTGTCTCTCCCCCCCATCCCATCACAGGGTCTACCCTGTGGTGGCACCTTGCCTTTTGAAATGCTCCCCTGGAGTATCTCCTCCATATCTAAGGCCTTTACCACTTAGGCACTGATTAATGACTGTGCCATTTTCCCAGCTTGTGTTGAAATGGATGCACGACTTTTCTGCTGCAAGCTGCCTTGAGCACCAGAAAGGTGGGCTGAACAATATTTTGAATGGCAGCGACTCACTCAAAGGGGCGGAGCTTCAGTGCTAGCTTTCCAGCGGTACCGCTTCTAGGATTGGTAGCGTTGCAGCTCTACCCTACCGCGCCAGTGCCTTGAACATGCAGCTCTCTCCAGAACCGTTCTGTCCCTTTCTGTGCAGCTGGACCGCTTGGAACTGGACCCCTTCCGACAGCAGCTGGAGGAGCGCTGGAAGGATATCCGGAAACAGCTGAAGGAGAGGATGCCACAAGAAATAGGAGACGAAGCTGCTGGGATCAGGAGGTAAGAAGGTCTGAAAACAGACAACTCTTATCTTCCAGTAGACGTATGATAACAGCGGGCAGATATCAAGCCAAATCTGATGCACGGTGCCACACGTGTCTCACGTTTGTGGGTGTGGTGTGAAAACGAAAGCCTCCAGCATGCCAATGCACACTGCCTACAACATGCTCCTTGGAACCGTGTGCTGGTTTTATAGTTGAAGGGTCTTACGTAGAGGAGCAGAATGCTGAGACACTGCCTGTCAGGATAAGATGTGTTGGATGGACCATGGCCCTTTGGCCTGGCCTGACCTCAGCGCACTTTGTATATCTAGTATGAGTTCCTGAAAGAAAGGACTTTGGAGTAGTTTGTACCCTAACCTAGCACTTTGAAGAGAATGGTTATTCTCCAGCAAGCTGGGGTCCATATGTCCTACTTCTCTACTGCACTCTTTGGGCTCTGGGTATTTGTTTTTGACACTTACGCTGGGAACATTGAGCCCTGTTCCAACACCAAAAGCCTTGCCGAAGATGCTTTCTCTACACCAGGTAGGCAACCTAAGGCCCGTGAGCCGGATGCAGCCCAATCGCCTTCTCAATCCGGCCCACGGACGGTCCAGGAATCAGCGTGTTTTTACATGAGTAAACTGTGTCCTTTTATTTAAAACGTATCTCTGGGTTACTTGTGGGGCCTGCCTGGTGTTTTTACATGAGTAGAATGTGTGCTTTTATTTAAAATGCATCTCTGGGTTATTTGTGGGGCATAGGAATTTGTTCATTTTTTCCCCAAAATACAATCCGGCTCACCACATGGTCTGAGGGACAGGGGACCGGCCCATGGCTGAAAAAGGTTGCTGACCCCTGCTCTACACCATCCTTGGCTTTTCTCTCTGCTCAAGCTCTGTTCAGAAGTTTTTGCTGCTTCTAGGCATAGTTAGTAGTTTGTGAAACAATACACCCTTGGCTTGAAGGAGTATACCTTGCCTACCTGCCTATATATCTATTCTCCCATGCCACTAGGTTGCCTAGAAACCTCTGCTTTCAAAGAGTAGAAGTTATGATTTGGGAGGGGGTTGCTTAAAAAAAACTGCTTTGGAAGACTGGAAGCCTTTCACATTTACTATTGCAATATGATTAGAGTAGGTCTGGGGTCAAGTGTGTCCCTCCAAGCCTCTGTCTTACTCGCTTTACTCTTCCCAGAGTACACCCTCTCTTCTCACTGGTTCCAGGAAGTCAAAGGAGTGGTGGAATTGATAGCTCAGTTGGTTAGAGTATGGTGTTAATAACACCAAGGTTGCAGTTGCAATCCCCCTATGGGACAGTGGCATATTCCTGCATTGCAGGGGGTTGGACTAAATCATGGGTAAGCAAACTTAAGGCTCAGGGGCCGGATCCGGCCCAATCGCCTTCTAAATCTGGCCCACGGACAATCCGGGAATCAGAGTGTTTTTACATTAGTAGAACATGTGCTTTTATTTAAAATGCATCTCTGGGTTATTTGTGGGGCATAGGCATTTGTTCTTTCCCCCCCAAAAAATGTAGTCCGGTCCCCCACAAGGTCTGAGGGACAGTGGACTGGCCCCCTGCTGAAAAAGTTTGCTGACCCCTGGACTAAATGATCCTCAGGGTCCCTTCCAACACTACAGTCCTATGATTCAGCCCCCCCCCCCAAAGTCTGTTGATCCTCCTTGAGTGTTTTTGCAATGCATTTCTCCAGTAAAAACACACACACACACACACACACACACACACACACACACACAAAATATGTATGTTAGAGTACAAAAATGCATTGTGTTATGGAAAATTGCCAGCAGAAATGTGTGTGTTAGGTAAAATTACATATAACATGCACATCTACAGAGAAATGTACACAAAATTGCAAACAGTTTTTTGCCTGGACCTTCCCCCCTTCCCTAATGCAAACTAATGTGGAAAAGGGGCAAACTGAATTTTAAGACTGGAAAAGTGAGAAACCGAAACTGATAATTTTGTTCAGATGGGGCTCTGAATCTTGGATGTTCCCCTGCCTATAGGCATCTCAATCGCACTCTGCTGCATAGCTTTTTTTGGGTTTTTTTGTTGTTGGTTTTTTTGAAGTCTTTTGGAAGGAGTGGCCCAGTTGGCTAGCTGGCACTCTCTCATCCCTCCACGTTGTTGTCAATGGATACTCTTTACTTCACTGCTGCAAGCTGCATCACCCATGTGTCACCACCAGAGGGTGGTGGTGCTTGCGACGCGTGGGGACATGGGGCACAGCTCACTCACCTCGAAGAAGGGAGAGTGAATAGCCTCAGCGATGGAAACTGGCAATTACGAATGCATTCTGCTGGGCGGAGGGTGGTGGCACAGTCAGCAGCCCCCATACTGTGTGCCCGTTATGTAAGAAGATAGAGACTGGATCCAACAGCTAGGCAGGCCGCCTCCCAGGCCTTGCTCTCTGCTTCCCTCCACATCCTTTGACGGAACGAAACAGTGACTGTACTTGAAAGAGTGGAGGAATAAGGTGCTAGCAAATGCTTTCCGACAAGAAGCATAGTATCCCCAGGCGAAGTTGTGTGTGCACAGTTAATTCCAGCTCTTCCTCCAGGGCGATCTTCAAGGAACAGAGAGGCTTGAAGCTGCTCAAATCCTGCCCCATGCACCAAGTACTCTTTCCCAGCAGTAGCTGGTGGTGCCAATTCCTGACTCATAACCCCACTCACCGCTGCTTCCTTAATGTCAGTCAGTGGGATTAGGTAAAGGTGTGTCATGTTTGGGAGGGAAGGATCTCCATAGCTACCTGATCTCCACTGGAGGAATCTGCTTCCCTCGAAGAAGGAAAAGGGCGGTAGGGAATAGAAGTACAGTACAAAGTGCAACCAACGAGCAGTTTTGAAGAGGGGAGTACAGTGGTACCTCGGGGTTAAGAACTTAATTCGTTCTGGAGGTCCATTCGTAACCTGAAACTGTTCTTAACCTGAAGCACCACTTCAGCTAATGAGGCCTCCTCCTGCTGCTGCTGCGCCGCTGGAGCACAATTTCTGTTCTCATCCTGAAGCAAAGTTCTTAACCCAAGGTACGATTCTGGGTTCGCAGAGTCTGTAACCTGAAGCGTATGTAACCCGAGGTACCACTGTACTTGTTTTCTAAAGCAGGTTGTTGACGTTCTTTTCCAACTCCCAACGTTGTTTTCACATGCAATTTGACATTTAGATTTTAAAAATGTGTTGTTCTAAAATATCGAGAACGATCTCCTGTTGCTCTCTGACAGCTCCCCGGGTGGTCAGTTTTAAATAGGAAGCACCCATGCTGAGTGTTAGGATACCCAAGTTAATTCCACACTGTTATGTTGCTACCCAGGCAGTCAGAAACTACATAGGAACGGGGTAAGAAGGCAGCAGGTGAATGTGCCTGGCCTGCTTGTGCTTCAGTGTGCGAAAAGTGCCTTCTGCATCTCCTCCTCATCCACGGAGAGATCTGTGAGTGCCTGGTGTTGCTTCTTCTTTTGCTGTTGTGAGTCCACAAACCTTTCAACTTCAGGGCATCTCCCCCTTCATGAAAATGTGTGTACAAACTATCATTTTACTCTCCTTCACACGGACCTTTCAGGCAGACATTTGCATATCCTGTATCAACGCCGCCCCCCCCCGGCACCTGCTCTATACTCCCATTGCCGTAATTCCTTCATTTGGCCTAAGCATCTCTTTTTCTACCCAAACAGGAGACTCCTGGCCCATTTCCACTGCATCTCTTGCGACCGACCTTTGGAAATGGTTGTTCCTGGCCCGTAAGTCCATGTGTGGAACTCTTATGATGCTTGTGTGCTTATGCTGCTGTCCTGGGCTCCTTCGGGAGGAAGGACAGAAAATTAACAATAAATATTTATAGGGGTATGTGGTGGTTTAAAAATAGGTGCAGTACAGGACTTGGAAGCCGGGTGATTTGGATTTGAGTCCTCCTTGCTCAGCCATGATGGGGAAACCACAGCCTCCAACTGGTAGCTTGGGAAAAACACATCCCATCAGCCAGCCCAGGGTCCTGCATGGCCTGCCCTTCTGTGACAAGCAGATGTCAGCAGCTGAACCAGGGACGACTTCCTTGTCCTGTAGCTGCTTCGTTCTCCCACCCCTCCCTTTGCTTAACCTGCCTGCTTATTGTCTTGGCAGACACATCACTACACTCCCTGCTGTGCCAGGTTTACCTGCTCACCAATCCCTCCGGCCATACATGGTTTATGAATTGGAACAAATCAGGCAGCTGAACCGCAGGTACGCAGAGGACAAGGGGCTTCGGAGGGTTTTTTCTGGTTCCTAGCTTGTGTGTATTTTAAGAGGCAGGTCAGGTGGGAATTGGACGGGGCACAGATTTGGAAATAGGGGGCCTGCTGGGGAGAATGAAACTGAGAAGAGAGCAGATGCAAAGTGCCTCTGGCCTTGGTGATATTGCTATCATTCTGTTGGGGGAAGGCAGGAGTGGCAGGGAAATAGCTTGCAGCCCAAATACTCCTGCCTAGCAAAACAAGATTTTTCACTGACAGGTTGGACAGAGGGAGCTCCCCCATTTCCTCTGCCCCATTTGCATGTGATGAAAATGGGGCAATCGTTTCAGCAAACTGGCAGGTAGGAGGGCAGGGCAGGGAATTAGTCTCTGTTGGTGTGGCGAGGCTTTTCCTGGCAGCTTAGTGGATGCCATTGTTTGTTTCCTACAGTTCTCTTGCAAACAATATTCTGTCACCATGTAGCAAAAAAATACAGTGGCATCTGTTAACCAGAGGCTAAAAGAAATAACCCCAGTGCCAAAGTTAGGAAACCGGTGGTGGAAGGAGGACGGGGATATAAGGGGGTAGGTGGGGGTGAATCCCCCCCTTTCCTCCAACCATCCCTCTCAAAAATTGGCTGAAAGTTTCCTTTGGGCAATCTCTCAACACTTCCTTAGATAGAAGTGTCGCTGGATGGGGCAGTAGACCTCAGCAACCCCTCCATTTGTTACACCCAGAGGATCTTCTGTAGAAAATGTGTCCCATTGAACATGTGCCCTTTGCTTTCTAGATTCTTCATAGCTGTCAGTTTGAGTGAACCTGGTTAGGTCTTCCCGGGTAGCATAGCTCCACGTAAATGTTCTCACCAGTTCCTGCTTTCTCACAAAAGGAGCGTAAAATGCGAGCAAGGCATGCTGGAAGCAACAGCCCTGCTTAACAGTGTGATTTCTCTTTTCCGTTCTCTTTCTGTGGCTGTTTGCCGTCTCCTTGCTCTCTGGCTTGTGCTGCTGCACCCCACCTTTCCCCTTCCCATCCTATTGTACCCCACCCTAGTCTGAAGTTAGGACCTGGTGTTCGTTTTGATGCACTGGAGAAGAGTGCAAGTCTCAATAAGCTGCGCCGCATCCATTCCAAGATGCTCATGGATATACAGAAGGTGCAGAGCCATTACAGTGGTGGAGCAGCGAAGGTCAACGCTCAGATGATCAGGGAGATGCTGCAGGCCCAGTGTCTTGGCTCAACCCCATATGGCAAACGGTAGGAGAAAAGGTCTCGAGCAGTTGAAGTTCATAGCTCCAAAGCAACGAGAAGCAAAGTAGGGCGGGCACTCAGTTTGAAGGCACCCGGGACAGATCAAACTCCACGCCCCACCCAATTGCGGCTTCCTGGCCTCACCCACCGTACCCCACTTCTGCCACCACGCCCCAGTTCTTGCCGAACCTGGTGGGAGCCAAGGTGCTCCTCTGAGTGTTGCTCCCCCAGGGGAAAGCCAAGCAGCAGCCAGAACACAGGAACACCCTGGCTCTTGCCAGGACACTCACCCAAATATTGCCGCTTCCTTGGCTTCTCCACCTGGAGGCGGGGAAGACGAGCAGCAAGGCTGCACACTGGAATGCCTCCTCCTCGGTGGCAGGAGTGGTGGAGAAGGCCATTTTATTATCCCAGAATGAGTCTGGAGGAATAAAAGATGTTGGTGGCTCAGGCCACTTTGCTCAGTGCTTCTTTGATGAGTATGGAGTTGGGTAAGCTACATTTAAAAAATCAAAAGGGGAGGGCAGCAGTGTCAGCTCCAGTGGGCTTTCTGGGGGTTCTGGGCCCAGACATTTACCCCATCATTTCAGGTGCTGATGCTGGGCTTGAATAATGCTTCATTACGCAGCCATCCTAGGGATTTCAAGGCATGGACACAACAGAACACCACCTGTTCAGAAATCCCTGAAAGTCAGATTTATAAAACAGTCATTAATACTTAGCTAAATCTCTGGGTCGAGCTCCTAGTTAATTCTTTTTATCCAGGTGGATATTCCAAATAGGGTGTAAACAATATCAGCTTTGCAAGAAATCAGCCACAAGAAGAGCAGGAGCAGCTAACTATATGCTGAGCCTTCTCACTTACCAATGTGGAACTTCTTTACTTTGTTGCACACATGGGTGAAAATTCCTATACACAGAATCCACTTTTTGGAACAAGTTTCTGTGTGGTAAGAAGCCACAAACTCCTCACGTGCTCTTAGTCTTATCTCACTGGATACCTGGCATGCAGGATTTATGCAGATTCTTATGCAGAACCAACTTCAGTGAAGGAATTTCGTCATGCCTGAAGCAACCCCTTAAGGTGCTTCTCCTTAGCGTACATATAGCTCTGTGAATGGAAAGAATGCACATATTTAGTGGTCAGACTTGCTGCTGTTGCTGCACGGTAATAAAATCTGGAATTCCAAAGCAAACTATGAGCTTGAGATGTCTGTTGAACAAGTCAGACCTGACTGTTACAGCTTCACAATATATTTACTGATGTCTGCAGGCCAACTCCTTTACCTGCAGAACCAAAGAAGTAACATGCAAACAAACATTAACCTTGTACTGCAGGTCAGGTATGCCACCCCAGTTCCCAACAGCAAAGTTCCACCAAGACTTCAGAAACCCCTCCCGTCAAAACTGGCCATGTAGCTTGCATTTTTATTTCTGCTTCATTGTTAGCTTGCTAGTTGCTGCTCCCCCTATTGCTTCCATGCCTGAAATTCTACTTTCTGTCTAGGAAGCTCCCTCCTTGTCTACATGCTGACTTGTGACAAGATCTACTCTTTCATTCTGGTGTGTGTGTGTGTGTGTGTGTTGCTGCTTGATGAAGTGCAGGCCAGGGAGACAAAGCCAGGAGCAGGTTGTTGTTGTGCACTGTGTATGCACCTAATATTTCAGATTTCCCTTCCACCATGACCTCTCTGGAGCGGCTTAGTGTTTTCTGCTTTATTTGGGAAATGGATCAGTTTTGACATTCTGAAAATGTTCAGTGTAATTGTGAGTGGTGTTTTGTGGGACAATTAAGGACAGCGGTGCTAAATTGTGACAAAGAAATGTAACCGCCCTCCCCAAAAGTGCTTTCTGAAGTTAGCATTTCAAAATATCCTTGGGCAGGACTTGACCCTAGACAACTTGGGAGTGGCATTTGGCTTGCTCTCTCATATTTATCTTATTTATTTGTCTGTTCCCACCTTTCTCCTTCCAAAAGGAGACTCAAGGTAGCTGCTAAAGTGTACCATGAAAAATCAAGCACAGCATTACTGTGCCATATTACACATATACACTCAACGCAAGCCCCACCGAGTTCAATGGGGCTTACTGTGAAGTAAGCAAGTGTAGGATTGCAACCTAATATTTTTTTAACATTCGGCACCGAAACCAAATTACTATTGCACCTGGAAAGAAGATCTTTCCTGTTCCTTTTAACCTCTCTGCAGCCACAACAGAAGGTGGTGCCACAGACCTTCCACCTTGCTCATTTCCCGTTCCCCTCCTGACCACCTTCTCCCCAGCTATAACGTCCAAAAGGGAAGTCCTGCCTGGTCTAGCTCAAGGGTAGTCTCCAGAAGAAGCTGGACTCCAACTTCCTTCAGCCCCAGCCAACATGGCCTTTAATGGAGCTGCAGGCCAGCAGCATCCTGTTGGTTATCATGGTCTAGCTAGTAAGCCATGGATGTGGCTGATGGGTGGGATCCCCAGTTGGGTAAGAGGACAGGGTGGGTGGGTGCTGTACTTTTATGAGCTGCTTAGAAGATGGGATTTTCACATGCAAAGCTTACCTGCTGAGATTCTCGTCTTCTGCACAGTTTAAAGATGTGGTAGCCCACCCTGGTCCCCCTTTTCACCTGGCCACTGTAGTGAAGTGAGAAAATAAAGAATAAGGCAGCAGGAGTTGTGGCTGTGTGTTGGGACAGCTGGTCTGTTAAAGAATTGCTGCAGCATGGAGAAGGAAAGCCAGCACTAGCAGTTGGACGAGTATACAGATTTTGTCACAATCCCCCAGGTACCCATGTATGGTTTGGGGTGTTGTCCTCCAGAAACCAGGTTAGTGTAGTCAGTTCAGCTTCAGACTCAGTGGTAGTGGGGAGCAAGGAGAGAGAGCACCTGTGCCTTTGACAGTTGTGTAAAAGATGGTGCAGTATGTGTTACAAGCTATACGTGCTGAAACTCCACGTCCTACAAACCATTCAAGGTTCAAGAGCCTGCTCTTTTGCATTTGGGCCCCTTACACACTGGGTTCTCCCACTTTGACCTGTTGACCCTTGATTCCCAACAGCGACAGGCTTGCTGATATGTCAGACTTCAGCTACATAAGCGTTCCTCGCCACTGCGGAGGCAGCCACACCCTCACTTACCCATACCGGCGTTACGGACGGCTGCAGCAGTTTGCACAGTCTATGGCACCAGTCCAACCGGACGAAAACGCCATGTTGGCGGTGATGAAGGTAATAAGAACTGGGGGTGGGGAGGGAGACGGAAGGTGGGGCGTGGAAGTCAGGCTGGACTCATACCTGACCTGTAGGTTTTGGAGCCTACAAGGGATGCACAGGCCTGCACTTGCTTTGCATGATCCACTTCACATAAGAGGGAGAAATACAGTCTGGATTGCACTGAGTATTTGCTCATCCTCTGTCCATTTGGTTTCTTCACATGTAACTTTGAACCTCATCAGATTTATTTGATTTAAAAAACAACAACAACAACACTGCACCTTGCATTGAATGATCCTTAGCACCTAGTAATAACACAGAAAATTTCCCCTCAATCAGTTTTGGCAATACTATGCCCAATTTTATAAACCTCAGGCATGTTTTTCCTGCCCTCCCAAAAAGCTCCAGTGCTTTCTTTTGTCACAAGGGAAGTGCTGCAGCCCCTTAGATTCCTGCACCTTTTCCACCTCTACAATCTCCTTTTGGAGATGTGGCAGCCATACTTCTACATAACATCTCAACTAGTTTGATATGAAGGCCCTGTGATATCTACAGTCTCTTCCCTATTAATCCCTAGTAAGGAATTTGTCTCCTTCGCAGCTGCCACAATCTGGGTTGACACTGAGCTTTTTCTTCCAAGATCCGGAGACCTCTTCCATGTCACCGCCAGTTCAGGCTGATCAAACTATATCTGAAGTTGGGATAATTTTTGCTTTTGCCCCAAGGTGCATCTTTACGTACACTGAGCTTCCACCTCCCATTTTGTTGCCTACCTACCCCATTTGGAAAGATCCTTTTGCCTCAGCCCATAAGGAGGTTGACCCTCTGCCACCTGCACACACAGTACCTGCGTGCATCTGTGCCTGTGGAGAGCCTTTTCCCACACTGAATGTGTGAATAGAGGGTGAGGGAGCATTTCCTTCCTGCTTGCTCTCAGCAGAGACATGACTGTGATTGTCAATGGAAAGGGCCCCAGAACCCCATTCCCTTGTCCTTTTTAATATGGGGGAGAGGGCTTATATGAGCTTCCCTACTGAACTTAATAGTCAGGCAGGTTCATATAGGAAATTGAAGAGAAACAAATTTTACTGCTCTTGGTCTTAAGAGAAACCACATACTTTCTTTTTCCTGTCCATGGCCGAACCCTTCTTTCAGTATTAGAGACTTTCCTTCCCTTCATAAACTTGCGCTCAGTCACATAGGCTGTTTGCTAGTATTTTCTGCTAATTTATTTTAGTAGAAACTGAAACGGGCCTATTTTAGGTTCCCATTTCAAGGCTCTTCTACTCTTGCATGTGGGCGGGGGACACACATTTAAGCTGGTTTTCAGAAACGCAAATGTTATAAAACCCAAGCCCACAATTCTGAGTGCTGTGTAAAGGCTGAGTATTGGAACCGCAACAATAAATGGAAGGCAACACAATTATTGGTCTGGACACACTTGTTGACCTTGAGGAAGTTGCTGTATAGGCTTATTTCAGACCCTGCAAAAAGGGAATAATGTATTATCTAAATGAGAATGAGAACAAGATCACCGTGTGTAGAAAATGCTCCTTTCTAGCTGACATTACAATTTTCTCTTAATGGCAGGACTAATGGCTTGGTATTGTTCCTGTGATACACGTTTCACCTGCACCAGCTTATCTCTCTCTGAATTATGTAACATAAAGATAACTGAAAAACAAATTTCCTTTTGACCACTCTCTCCTGATTTCTTTTTTTATTATCTTTTGTTAGCAAAAAGTTAATTTAGATTGCAAAATGTTTTGTTCATCCTTGCTAGTTCTAGGCCAGTATCCCAACTCTCATAGTGCTTGTTGCTAGAAGCCATGCAAGAAATACAATGACTAAAAGGTTTGGAGGCTTCTTGTGCATCAGGATATGTGTCCTGATTATGGGGGCTCAAAAAGCCATGCATTTGTTTAGTTCCTTTTTTTATCTCAAATGTTCTTCTCCCCCAGATACCCAATCAGATGCCCACCATCCAAAGTGCAGCCTCTATCTTGGTTTCCACAGCCTTGGCCTCCTTTCCTTCCACATTTCCCTGGCGTAAGACATGCACCCCACCTCTCTCCCATGAATGGCACTCAAAATAGTTAACCACAAGAAATTAAAACAACTGGAAAGTAAAAATATTGAACAGCAGAATTCTCCCTTCTCCAGCTTTCAATTACCCACCCCCCTTAAAAAAATTGCTCAAGCTCCTCCTACTGGTTGGAAATTTACCGTATTTTTCGCACTATAGGACACACTTTTTCCCCTCCAAAAATGAAGGGGAAATGTGTGTGCGTCCTATGGGGCGAATGCAGGCTTTCACTGAAGCCTGGAGAGCGAGAGGGGGCGGTGCGCACTTCAGGAGAGCCCCAGCGCCAGCCCCACAAGGTCGGGGGACAGAGGGAGGCGGAACGCCGCCATCCCGCTGTCTCCCGAAGTGGTTTGAGACCCCGCCGCCAGCCCCGCAAGCTCCGGGGACAGCTGGGAGACGCAGCGCGTCTTCCTGCTGTCCCCGGACCTGATCTGAAGGCGGGCGGCGGGGAGAAGAGCGCTTCTCCCCGCTGCCTGCCCCGCAAGCTCCGGGGACAGCTGGGAGGCGCAGCGCGTCTCCCCGCTGTCCCCGGACCTGATCTCAAGGCGGGCAGCAGGGAGAAGAGCGCTTCTCCCTGCTGCCTGCCCCGCAAGCTCCGGGGACAGCTGGGAGGCGCAGCGCGTCTTCCCGCTGTCCCCGGACCTGATCTGAAGGCGGGCGGCGGGGAGAAGAGCGCTTCTCCCGCTGCCTGCCCCGCAAGCTCCGGGTACCGCGGGGTGGCGCATCGCGTCTCCCGCTGTCCCCGGACCTGATCTCAAGGCGGGCGGCAGGGAGAAGAGCGCTTCTCCCCGCTGCCTGGCCCGCAAGCTCCGGGGACAGCTGGGAGGCACAGCGCGTCTCCCGCTGTCCCCGGACCTGATCTCAAGGCGGGCGGCAGGGAGAAGAGCGCTTCTCCCCGCTGCCTGCCCCGCAAGCTCCGGGGACAGCTGGGAGGCGCAGCGCGTCTTCCCGCTGTCCCCGGACCTGATCTCAAGGCGGGCGGCGGGGAGAAGAGCGCTTCTCCCGCTGCCTGCCCCCAAGCTCCGGGGGCAGCTGGGAGGCGCAGCGCGTCTACCCGCTGTCCCCGGACCTGATCTCAAGGCGGGTGGCAGGGAGAAGAGCGCTTCTCCCCGCTGCCTGCCCCGCAAGCTCCGGGGACAGCTGGGAGGCGCAGCGCGTCTTCCCGCTGTCCCCGGACTTGGTCTGAAGGCGTGCGGCAGGGAGAAGAGCGCTTCTCCCGCTGCCTGCCCCCAAGCTCCGGGGACAGCTGGGAGGCGCAGCGCGTCTTCCTGCTGTCCCCGGACCTGATCTGAAGGCGGGCGGCGGGGAGAAGAGCGCTTCTCCCCGCTGCCTGCCCCTAAGCTCCGGGGACAGCTGGGAGACGCAGCGCGTCTTCCCGCTGTCCCCGGACCTGATCTGAAGGCGGACTGCGGGGAGAAGAGCGCTTCTCCCCGCTGCCGGCCCCACAAGCGCCTGGGGGGGAAATAATTTTTTTTTCTTTATTTTCCCCCAAAAAAACTTGATGCGTCCTATGGGCCGGTGCGTCCTATGGTGCGAAAAATACGGTAAATGCCACACATAAACAATACAGTATTCAAGTAGTCATCCTGCCTGTAATCCAAACCTGCATGATGGACCTGCTTTTAATTTAAGACATATACTTGTTTATCTTTTATTACCTCTGCTTAGAAAAATGTAAACATATAACTCTCTTGGTCTGACCTTACCATAGTACAGAGCCCAGTACAGTTGTGGGTTACAGACCATTAGTTCCTGTTCTTCTCCCTTTTCTGGGGGCAAAGTATAGATTTCCTCACCAGTGGCTGCAACTGGGCTCTTTCATTAGCTTTTCTAATTCTTGAGGTTTTTAAGACAATATTATATTGTTGCATTTTTAAGTTGACAACCATGGCGTGTTGGATTTACATGAAAGCTGCCAGTCTAGAAGATGAGAGCTTATCTTCCACTCGGGCTGAAATCTTACAAATATATGCACTGGGAGACTACTTCAGATGTCAGAGTTTTAAACCAGTAGATGGAAACCAATGTGATCAAGGGTTTGGACAAATTCATCTTAAAATCCAAGTTGCCTGTTACATCATCGACAGTCTGTATCTGTTTACTGCAGAGCAGGGATTCCAGCGTTTCCCACTCTTTCTCAGTCAATGGAACCACCAACAGGTTGCAACCTAGAGATGAAGTTTCTACCTTTGTAAACTCCAGGGTAGAGTAGGGCAGCCTTCAGCAATGTATGCCCTCCAGATATTTTTGGACTCCCATCTCCCATCAGCTGCAGTCAGAATGGCCGGTGGTTAGGGCTGATGGGAGTTGTAGTCCGACAAAATCTGGAGGTTGGAGGTAACATGCAAACAGGTGTGAGTGGACAACAGGACTAAGGAAGAGATGGGCAGGGAAGCTGTCACTGGATCAGGGAATTTAAAAGGCAAAGCAGGGATCACTAGGTTCCAGCCTGGCCACCCTACTGTCAAAGTGAGAAAGCTTTTCAAGCTCCACTGTAAGTGTTGAGACTGATGGAGTGAAACTGCAGGACTGGCTTGTAATGGATTTTTAATGTTTGCCCTTGGGGCTAAATTGAAATCTGCCCTGTACTTGCATTGATTCCTAGCATGAAGAGGTAGATATACTGGGTCTTGATGGTCATATCTACAAAGGACGGATGGACGCACAACTCCCATCAATAACTGGAAAGGACGGTAAGTGTTATATTCCATGTGCAGACGCTTTGGGTAGATTTTGTTAACCCTTTCATGAACACTGTTCAGGTTATTAAGTGTTAATATGCAGAGCTGTCTTTACCTTGCATGGAACAATGTGAAACATTTGCCTTGAGCTGCAGAATGCAAAGCCAGCACCGTTTTCCTGCTGCCGGTTTCCTGCTGCCGATCCTCACCCCTGGTTTACTGAATAAGCACATCTGTAAGAGACCTGATGCATGTAAAAGGATGACTCTTGTTTGGCTTCTTTAAATCACTACATCACTATTTGTATGTGTGTAGCAGAAATACTGAAGTGTCCTTCCACCCTCTGTGCTTCTCCCACCAGGTGTTTTAAGACCGAGAAACAAGCTCATTCGGTCGTCCTCACAAAGGCATCATCCCACGCTCAGTGACATTGCCAATCTTCCAGCTCGTCCCCACACTGCCAAAGTGTCTTTGCGCAGCATGTCAGGTAAGTTCCGAGCCAGGTCAGGATCTAGAAAAGATGAGATGAGACCCACTCAGATAAGATAGTGAGGTTTCCTTAATTTATATACTCATTCTGGGATTAATATAGAATAGGACAGTCCACGCAAGTGGAGCGTCTGTGAGAAACTCTGCTTTTATATTGGTTTTATACTGTACCTAGGGCCCCTGCAGACATCCTTTTTATGCATTCATGATTATTTGTGCTAATGATGACATTGGCACAGTTATATGTGATTTCCGTTATCATTGGCATCTACATTGGACATACAGGTTTGTTTCCAAACGTTACATGTCCTATAATCTCCTGCTGAAATCTGGCAACTTTTCATGCCCAGAATATTTGGGGTGGTGATGGATGGTCAAGTTTAAATACACTACTAATCCATTGTTAATTGCACCTGCAAAAAAACAAAACCCACTAGTCTGCTCGGCCTTAAAACTGTTGTGGCTTTTCCCAAATAATCCTGGGAATTGTAGTATATAGAGGGAATCTTGTTAAGAGAGCTGTAGTTTGTGCACACTCTTTGCAGAACTATGTTTCCCATAATCCCTTGAGCAGGGGAGATTTCAGTTAAGCCAGTTTTAAGGCTTTAGAGTGGGTATTTCCTCTGTACGTTCTATAGGCCAGTTCCATTGTACATCTTTGCAGATTTTGTGCTCAGGGAAGTAGCTTCAAGTCAGAATCATGCAGGTTCTTTAAATTAAAAAAAAGGGGGGGGCCAGCAAAGGCTTCTAGTGAGAGGTCTGTCACTGGTTCACTGATTCTAGGTCTGATTGCAATCTCCACGCCTGCCAGTCCATCTGTCCATTATAGAGAGCTCCCTTCTGGTAGCACCGTGGTGCTGAACGCTCACATCTGAGATGTAATGGCAAACACAGTCAGTTAGAACAATTGGACTGTGTGCCAGACTGATTGAAGAGCACTGCAGGAAATCATGGGGCTGCTTAGCATAGACCAAGAGCACTGTTTACTTAGCAGCGCACCTAACTTGTGGAAATGTACAGAACCCGTCGGTGAACTTTGCCTGCCCTGTGCGACGAAGGTGGGGGAAGAGGGGAAGGAGGAAGGCTGAGGGTGAAAGGGAAAGGAAAGAACCAGTGGCTGCTGGAGAAATTTTAACCACCTGGATAAAATTATCTCTCTGCTCAAAGCCGGCAGTCATTTTGCATATAGGAATGACAAGAAGGGCTTGCTGCTCAACCCCATTACACCTCGGCTTGAGGGCTGCTTTACATGTTACAAAATTGACAGTACACTAAGTGTACCCGTGAAGTATTCTGTAACACATGAAAGGCAAATATACTTTTTTAAACTGAATGTGGGAAAACAAGTATACATTGTGAGAAGACTGGACCAACAAAGGCTCTCCACAGCTTTAAAGGTGTAGGGATGTGGGTGTCAGGGGGAGGGGGGTGATGTGTTTCCTTGGGTGGAGTACATATGATGCAGCAGGTATATTTTGTTCTGTGCATAGCAATAGAAAAATTGCTAACAGGATCTGGAAGATCATTCCTCTCCTCTTTACCAGGAGATACACAATTGCAAATTCCATATTTCATTTTCCATAGTGACTTCTAGCACTGAAAACTAATCCTGGGGTTAAATGCTTCAGTCAAATTAACCCTGCCTCCATTCCAACTACTGACTGTTTGAGATGCTGCTATCTTTTTAAAACCTAGATCAATCGTCACAACCCCATGAGTCTAAAATGTTTGTCACGGTAAATGGGCCAGTGCACATAACATGCCAATTTTGTGCTTCACTTTCACTTGCAAAATAATTTCAAAAAAATAAAATTGGAAGCCTTCAAACTCCATGCAAGGAGGCATGGGTCTTGAGCCTTCTGTTGGTGAAAATTCATGCCTCTAGCAGTCAAAGTCTGGCTAGGTGAAGCATCAGGCTTTCTGCATGGGAACTACATCTTCACTTTTCTATCAGAACCAAAGCCATGTAAAAAAACTAATAAATTCGCCTTCAAGGTCATAGTGCTGGGCAGACCTCTTATCCTCTGCCCTGTTGCTGTCGTGCAAGACAGCAAGTGAGAGAGTGCTGCTGCACACAGCTCCTACTTTTGGGCTTTCCACAGGTATCTGGTTGGTTACTGTGAGAACAGGATGCTGGATGAAATAGGCTGCTGGCCTGATCCAGCAGCCTCTTCTTCCATTCTTAACAAGGTGATCTGAAGCTCTCAAGGCTACTTCCCACATTATAAAATAAGCTGGCACAACCATATATGTAAGGAATTGTGAACCTAGTGCCTGCTAGATGTTGTTGGAATACAAACCTCATTATCCCCAACCATGTTAGCTGGGGCAGATGGTAGCTGTAGTCTGGGCATAGGCAAACTCAGCCCTCCAGCTGTTTTGAGACTACAATTCCCATCATCCCTGACCACTGGTCCTTTTAGCTAGGGATGGTAGGAGTTGTAGTCCCGAAACATCTGGAGGGCCAAGTTTGCCTATGCCTGCTGTAGTCCGATGGATAAAATATTGGTTAATCAGTTTCTCATACTCATAATAATTAGATCTGGGCTCGTAGTCCATCCCAGTTCTACGATTCTATGATTCTGTCTATGGCTGTTGTTCTGTGTTGCAGCTAAGTCTGCAGGGGACAAATCCACAACCCATTTGCGGATCACGGAAGAGCCTGGAATGCAGGACAGAGAAACCATTGAGCTACGAATGACGATTCCCTCAAGACACTCAGATGAGCAGTCAGCATAAGCAGAGACCCACCAGCTTTGTGCCCCAATGAAAGCATGGTTCTTACAGATGAAAGCAAGACAATAAAGAGTGAACAAAATATGAAGATCATGCAGACATACTGCTGCTGCAGGAACACAGCCTTCTTGCTGTGCTTTGGCTACAGCAGGTGCAGTCTCTGTGGTTCTTCCATACAGTGATGTTCACAAGGGAAGGGCTGGGCTGGGCTGGTATGGGCTTGGGACCAAATGTGTTTGGGGGGGGTAGCAACATTTCCTTCTGTAGAAACCAGTTTTACTGGGTCAGCGGCCATTCATTTTATTTGTCCAAGGAAATTGGTTCTTCAGTACAAATTCTTCTGTTCAAAACAGTTAAAGAGACAGCTGATTTCAAGTCTCAACATCTTCAACTTCCTCCTTTTCCTCTTGTTGTTTCTTATTCCAGAGCCAGGCACACATTGGCCACTGAAATAAAAAAAGTTGCTGTGACATAAAGGGCCAATCCGGTTTGGGGTCCAGCTAATAGCTGCCCCTGTTGACTTTAGGGAAGGTGGGTGGAAAGATACAAGACTGCAGTGGCTGAGTGGAGCACTGCATGTTGGGCTATGTATTCTTTAGTTGTGCAGTTTTATCTTAGGAAGTTAATACAGTTGCTTTTGGGTTCAGCACGTATAACTCATGACAAAATTTATCACTCCTACGTTCATTAATAAATATGAAATTCATAGCTTTCACCAGAGTCAGTAATTCAGATCTGTTTCCAGAGTGGAACTATTTACTGTTCAAAATTTAGATGGCCAATTTTGTTTGTTTTAATGCAATGCACACCAGTAAGGATACATGTGAGCAAAAAACTAGTTCTCACTAGAGATTGAACATCTCAGCAGGTTCCTGCTTAAAATGTCTACCTCTTAAACCGACCAGGCCATGCTAATTGGAATGTATGTAGTATGAAAAGATGATATGTGTTCAGTTATTTAGCAACCAATGTAACATTTAAATGGGTTTATGTTGTTGGCTGGCATGCCATGGTCATCTTAGTCCTGTGATATGACTAGGCAAGTAAAATAGAAACTTCATACAACCCAAAAATAGCAGAGGAACTGTGGGGAAAAACATGTGGGTTTCACAAGGTGAACATTTATTTTCTTCGTCCCAAGTATGGGTTTGAACTGATCAGTGAGTTGAGCAAGCCGCTAACTAAATTCCACTTCTGTGTGGCCAAAACTTTCACCCCCTTGCAAATCTTAAATCATCACTTTGGAATTCCAAAAGCTTTCCAAACCAAATAAGCTTTGGGTGGAAAACATAACATTTGGTTCCCCAGTATGGCTGCGGATCTTTCAGTGCCTAGTTACATCATGCAGAATGCAAGCAGACTGGGAAAATATCACAGGCTGTCTCATAAGACAACAGAAGGGCGATATCGAACTGTTCACGCGGAGGTGCTAACACACAGTAGAATGAGAGGGATATTGGCCGAATTGTTCTTGGAGGTCAGCATGGGTAAGTTACCAAGAACTGTGTTTTAGCAACATATTTGCACCTATTTAGTCTTCCCATGACAGTAAGGCTGGCACCAAAGAATGACAGTGTCAGGCATTTGCAAGGGCTCAGAGAACAGTAGCAGGGCCACTGCATCAACGTTCTTGCTGTCTTTTATTTTATGCAGGACATTGAAGAAGCTTAAGTAGCAGTGAGAGAGAAAAAACTTCCGGCCACTCTCCTGCCTAAACACACCACACAAAGCAAGAGGCTTTACCTACCCTTCCTCCAGCGTTCTCTGAAGGACCAGAGGAGATAGGATTGATCTCTTGTGTCACACCAAGGCCTGCAATGTCACAATATTTTCTGCCCACTGTAGATCACAGGTGTCTCCCCACTGTAAATTACTGGGAAATGCTTCATAGGGACTGAGGGCTTGTGGGAGTCACACCTTGGTGACCATAGCAGGTAGGTTATCAGCCCATGTGCCAGCTCCCTCAAAATGGGCAGAAAATAATAGAAGTAGAATCCTTACAGATGGGGGAATCATTTATCCAGAGGTGGGGAACTTGTGACCATCCAGATGTTGCTGGAATACAATTCCCTTCTTCCCTGACCACTTGCCATGCTGACTAGGGATGATGGGAGCTGGAGTCCAGTAACCTCATGGGCTCCCCACCCCCTGCTTTTTTCCACCATCATGTGGGGGGATTTAGCTTAAGAATTTGTGAATAAATGTGACAAAATTACATTAGTTTGCGCAAGAACCACTCATAGGGCTGAAATTAGGACTCGTCAAATATAGGCTGCACCTGAGGCTGTGGAGTTAAAATACCATGATGCTGTCAACGAACGAAAGAGAGGTGTGTGAGACAAACATTCCTCAATGTCAAGCTGTTTCAAAGCAATCCATCTAACATACAGCATATTTGGGAGGGGTTTAGTATTCAAGCAACAAGACCTGCACACTGCCTGTACCTGGCTCCATCTTCGTGCATCCTCCCCAAACCAGAACGGTCAGTCTTTTGACAAAAGTCTCTCTCAAAAGCATTGCCAGTTTATTTTAATTTATTTAACAAAATTTATATGTGGCTTGACTGTAGAAAAACCTCTAAACAGTTTATATATTATCAATTAAAAATGTAAAGTATCAATAAAGTATCTTCCATGTATGTACAGGAGGCACGTAGGAGATGCACACCAAGAGATGTTTGACATAATAGTCCTCAGGCTTTTTTGCTGCAATCCATCCTATTGTGTTTGTGATTCAGGAAATCTTTTACATTTGGTTACAAACAACAGAAAAACATGCTGCTACTCACCAGACACATTCCTGGACCCAAAGAACTCTGCCCACGTCAACTGCTCCTGCCAATACCATTTGTATTAAGTAGTCAAAGATCCAAAAACCGTAGGTATACATGATCCCTCAAGTATGTGACTAGATTTAGTATTTGGTCAAGATAGCCTTCAAAATTCACTGGAGAAAGTATAAAGAGACTGCACAGTCTACTATGCATTTCCCCCCAGAAGCAAGCATGGGCTGTTGTATTTTAAGCATGCTCCTTTTTATTTGTAGCACTTTCTCCATCCCTAGCATGCATTTGGGCAGCATACACATCCCCTCATCTCTACATCCCCCCAAAATGCCTCCTGCACTTCTCTCCCCTCCAAAAGACCCCCAAACCATACGGCTTTCTTTCGCTCCAATGCTGCATCCTGCCTGCTTTCGCTATACTCTGTCAAATGGTTCTTAAGTTAATGTGCTGGTCTCACAAGAGTGGGCATGAGGACTCTCTATTCTGCCCTCCACAGTCTGGGCTCCATCATATTGCAAGTCAAACAGAACAGATGCTCACTTGCCAATGAAAGGGATCCTTCTAGCATAGCACAGCCTAGCTTAAAACGACACCCTGGTCCGACAGAAATGCAACGAGGGGGGGCAGAATGCCCAGGGCACTTGTGGTCCTCAGCTATTTACACCCCAGGGTAACCCCTTAACACTCAAAACATGTCCCCACTGCAATCCTATCTCCATTGCTTTGTACTGTGGGCAGAACCTAAGCCAGTAGCTTGGAAGCTTGAAGTGCTGAAGTGAGGTAACAAACAGCCAAGCTGTGGACAACCATCCACATTTTAGATTCCATGTGATGAAAGTGGAGGAGGAAAATGCATTTCTTCACCACTTCCTAATGTGCTTGGCTCCTCAAAACGCACTTCCAGTGAATTTAGTGGGACCTACCCCCAGGTGTGTACAGGATTGCAACGAATGCTGTGACAAAGAAGAGGTGTTAGTGTCCACCATCATACCAGAGGTAATATGATAGTTTAGGGGGACTTGCACAGGCAGTATGGCACACAGAGCTCTGCTTCCAAGAGAGAGGAATGGTCACCCCTACTCAGCAGCGGCTGCCTGAGGCAGTCATCTCCGCCCCGTCTAACAGTAGGGCCAGCCCAGCATGTTAAGCAGCAAGAAATTACAAGCTCTCTTATCCTCCTCCCTCCATACTGTGGCATCTCTAAGCAGAAGCTCCTTTGGTTTCAAAAGTGAGTTATCTATCTTCTCAGAACGACCAGAGCTGTGGCCTGTGGCCTACAAAGTCATCTGCCTTTCACAATATGGTATCCTGTCTCCGGAAGCAGAAGCATCATTCATAACCCCTTCCTTGGCCTGTTCTCTGGGACTGGAGATAGAATAGCAAGAGCCGGAGACACTATCACTTCCATGTACCCTCCTCCTCGCCTCTTATTTGCCCTCACAAGCTGCCTCCCATTCACCAACGGCCCCTTCCACTCATTTCAAAAGAGCTCTTGAGGGGCTGTTGCAACACTCAAGACTGGAACACTGTGTCACTGAGGGGAAACCACAGAGACCTTAGGGCTTTTTATTTGCACATTAAAAAGGAAGTTGCAACAGCAGCTTGTGCTTTCTTTTAGACATTGTGAAGGGAGAAACTCCCTTGTTTGCACCACCCTGCACTGAGAGGCGTAGGGGCTAGGCCCACATCTGGAACTGGGGCGGGGGGAAGAGACCCACAATTTCCCCCTCTCCGTCTTGTTATGCAGCACATCTTTCTTTCAAGGACTTCAGGCCAACATACATAAATATGGGCTACAAATGGAAATGGGATGGGGCCATAGGACTTGTTTTCAATTCTGTTGTGTTGTTTTGTCTTGTCGTGTAAAGAGCCATAATATAAAGTGCGCCTGCCCTTGTATCTGCATGGAAAATGTAAGATAGAAGGAAAAGGCTACATGGATTTTATCTCACTATCCTCACAATATAGCTCTGAATGGAAATTAGGCTAGACTCGAGAAGAGAATTACCTAAGGCCAACCGCAGTGAACTTCATGGCTCAACAAGGATTTGAACCTAGGTCTCCCTGGGTTAACTAAACTACACAATATAATAAAGCATGTGATGCGTCATCTTTCATCACCTCCTGTAATGTGCAACATGAGTTTGAGGAACATTGTAACGGCAGTTCTCTGTCCAGCCAACTGTCCAGCCTCCTGCAAAACAGAAAGCCGGCAAAGATGCTTTAGCTGTACCTTCTAACATTGGACTAAAGAAAAGCCATGTACAGTGGTACCTCAGGTTAGGAACTTAATTCATTCAGGAGGTCCGTACTTAACCTGAAACTGTTCTTAACCTGAAGCACCATTTTAGCTAATGGGGCCTCCTGCTGCCGCCGCGCCACCGAAGCACGATTTCTGTTCTCATCCTGAAGCAAAGTTCTTAACCCGAGGTAATATTTCTGGGTTAGCGGAGTCTGTAACCTGGAACGTATGTAACCTGAAGTGTATGCAACCCGAGGTACCACTGTAATCTAAACACACTGGGTACAATGGCGCCCAGATTTTTTTCCCGGACTTTCCGCAAAGCATGCAAAGCTGAAGGTGCACAAGTTAAATGTATGTAAGATGTGCGCTTACTGTACTGTATACTGCACACAAAAGAACTTCCTAGCATGTAGTGAGCTACTTGGCCTGTGTTATACAGAGTTACTTTTAAAAGGACTGTAGATTGGATTGAAAGGGGTCTGGTCAATTTCCTGCACTGATCCAGTTTGTATAGAACCCTAAAGCCTAAGAAACAGATGAATAACCGAGTTCACACTATTCCCTCCTGCACTTAGCACTCTGACGATAAATTTTCGAAGGAGAGAGACATCAAGGCGGCATTCTAAAGAGAAAATGTTTTAATAAGTGATTTTAGCTTACTCTCACATCGACTTGAGTGTTCATGTTGAGGAGACAAAATTTCTCGATGTGATAAATTACTGTGACCCAGAGAAGCAGGTCAAACTCACACAGCTAACTAGAGGGGAGGCAACCCCTGACTTCATCACAAAGGCGCTCAGATCTGGGGCATGTTATTTGCTTCTTTACATGTCATGCGCACAAAGAGGACTTTATGAGAAGGTGAAGCAGGGGTGCACCCTTGTGTGCCTCCCCCTTTCAAGCCCCTAATATCTACACACAGGGTGTGGGTGGCAGGGGGTCATGCAACAACAATCACAGTGCCAGTGGCAAGGTTTTGCTTCCCCTTATACTCACAGATACTTATTAATTTGTGTCATGAAGTAGTGATCCTGTGAGCAAGTATTGGTTAGTAGCTTGGAGGGAAGACTTGGGAAAGTGACCCCCTCCTTGACAATGTGTACAATGGTAAGGGAGACTTGTGTTACTGAACTGCTTGGGAACAGCCACACATTTATATGAGTGGTAAGATGCTCCAGAAATTCAATACATTTAACAATGAAAAAGGAACTCTGTAATAGAAGATTACTTGCAATGAAGTCAAAGGGAGATTCAAAAACGGTCAGATATATTGAAGATGCTCAAAGGTTAGTTAAAACCATCATATTAGGAACTCGAAAACAGAACGTTTATCTTAAAATTGGAAAGTTACAACAATCCAAAGAATGCAGAA